GTGAAGCTTCGTGTCGGCCAGGGAAAAGGAAAGGGCAAGAAGTAGGCCGCTGCCTCATAGTCCTGGGGTCATGCCCGACCAGTTGAGCGCGAGCCCACCCGTGAACGTTACACCATGTGCGATATTTATCAGGCTGGGGCCTGCATTCCGCCGACGCAGAGACTCTGGTGCTGGGATTTCTAGAGTCCTTTTGTCTTCGGACTGAGAACTACAGTGCTCCCAGTCTTTTGTGAAGGATGCATCGGCGTGTCTTTTTTGAAGATGCCCTTTTTGGGTAGTTTTAAGGCGAAACCAAGAGGAATCCACCCATAGGGGCAGCCCGATTGATGCTTGTTTCAGCGTGTGCGTGCTGCAAGGTGATGCCGAGGCTGCTAATCTAGTCTACAAACGTGCCCAACGATAAACAAAGGACAGTTTTGTAGACTAGAACGGCGGTGATGCTAAGGGTTTCGACCTTAGTCCTAGGTTTAGTCAATTTAGTCGAAGCACGTCGGCCATCCACACTTAGTCAATGAAACACATTTTTCCAGACCAAAACGGTGGTGATGATGAGGTGTCGACCAATTTAGTCTCCAAACGTTTCCGACATCTAAGTTTAGCCGGGGGTGTTGACCAATTTTAAGTCAAGCAATGCGTGTGTAGAACATTTTGTCCACAACCGTGTTTGACGTCTAGGTTTAGTCAACGGAAGACAGTGTTGTAGCCAAAAAGTGGCAAGGGTGCTCGCGCTAACCAATTTAGTCTCAAACGTGTTTCGCATCTAACGGTGATGCTGGGGGTGTCAGCTAGTTCAGCTCACAAAGCGTCCGACATCTACATGATGCTGGGGGTGTCGACCAACTTAGTGTGCAAGGGAAAAGAGAGGGTAGACTTAGAGATTGGCAAAGAAAGAGCTTCCAGAAGTTGGAGATTCGAAGAGTTTGAGGTTGGCGACAGGTCACAGTTGGAGGCTGGAGCCGGGGTCGGGCACTGCCATCGCAGAAAGGGCTCGGCGGATGGGTCCAGATGATGGCGTGGCTCTGGCGAGTTGGCGGATTGGTAGAGTAGAGCAATCGGAGAGCTTGTGTCACGTTGCTAGATAAGGATAATGAGCACACAAGCGGTCATATTATCGCACGCACAGCGGCCGTGCGCACCATAAGGATGATGCACAACTTTTGACCATGCGAATCCGCATCGTGTGCTCCATGAGCTGGAAGGCCGCGCCATCGCTGTGCAGATTCTGTCGTGTATTGCCGCTGGATGGCGCGGGCTTGATGGAGCTGCCTCCATCGAGCACGTCTCCAGCATGATGGATGTGCAGCCTCGAATCCTTTCGAACAATTACAGGAACCGCAGCAAAGACCAGCTTTGGCACGTCACTGCAGGAGGGGAATGGGATGCAGTTGTGGAGTTAAGGCGTCCCAGTCCCCGTGCTGAGGCCCAGAGACGAGGACTGCTGCCAAGCGTGGTTGAGTGCGCACAGATGCGCAAGGCCGTGTGCGGAGCCACCGTTGAGGCCAGAATGGTTCACATTCACGGTTGTGCAGTTGGCACTGCGCAGTATCATCAAACCTGCAGCAGCTCTTTGGACATTTGTTTGATCAGTGTCCAAGGATGTCGATTTTTGCGAAGGCGTGCGGGCGCAATTTGCCATTGCGAGCCAACACTATCTTTTCAAACACGCAGACACACACACACACATACGTTAAAGAGAAGAAGGACACATTCAGAGGCATGCAGCATAGAGATACAAGCAGCTAAACATTGATTCGTTGTTTGCTTTTCCCACCGAATCCCACCGAGTTTCAGGATAATGATGGGTGAGAGTGTGGCAGTGACAGTCCAATGAGGCTTAAGTCGTTGCCCCGCTCGAGATTTCAAAAGCATTGCAGGGAACCCTGTTACCTAACATCTCATGACCAACTGACATGCTTTCATGGACGACTGCAACACCTCCATTGGTTGTTACTAGCTCCTTTGAGCCCCTGTCAAAGCACCATTTCTACCCAGCTTCTCATCGAGCTGCAGCACCCGAACTGTAGCGGGCAGCTGCATGCTTCAACAGGCATGTCTCCATGAGTGTGAGGTTGCCTCAAGGAGACAGAGAAACAGCTTCTGCCGCGTTGGCATTGAATTGCGCCCCATCCGACTAATTTCCCCCTATGTTCTCACCCGAGCATTGCACGACTGCTGCGCTGCACCAGCCCGACTGCGGCTGGTTCAAAGTGGAATTTATCTCGGGAACTTGAGTGAAGGCCCCCTCAGTTGCGAAGATGCGGGTGCATCCCAGAACGGGCAACTCGGATTGGCTTGAAAAAGAAGCCATGTTGAAACCACCGCAAAAGGGGGGCCATCAACCTTTTGCAAGATTCTGAGCTTTGTTCACAATTTGGGTTTGGTTTTTATGTAATTAGCGTGCAGATTTGCATTCCCCTGATGCCAAAAGGGCCAATCCGGACCAGAAAAGCCACCAAAGATAGACACATGGCCTGTTATGGAAAGCACATCAAGAACTTCGAAGAACAACCTGCAAAACGTGCGGAAAGAAGCTGCAAAGCTACAGTTGGCGCAGCGCAGTCTCTTTCGCAGAGAGAGGAGGATGCAACGCTGATAAGACTCCACCCATGTGGAGCAAATCTATTGTCATGGGGGCGTTGCCCCTTTTAGCTTCAAGACCGCGTTGATGAAAATGCGAGAGCGGGCAGCCTTCAGGTTTCCACAGTTCCGGCGTCTAGAGTTGGGGACTGCTAAATTGTCCCGTTCTTCCGTCCTGGGTCTTTTATTTCGGCGGCATGTGTTTCATGTGCTTTGCACACGTAGAAGCGGCAAGGAAGGTGTTCATTTTCTGTGTGTGTGTGTGTGAGTCAACTATTGCAAACAGGGAGGGAGGCTAGTGGAAGCCAACACAGGAAGGATGAGGCGACTTTAGCGGCCCGGTTTGATTTGCGGCTGCGTGACTGCGCATATTTGTTTTGGGGAACATTCAACTTTGACTTTACTTTCAGCATGACATTTTTTACGGATTTATATTGTCAGGCATTCCCTCCTAGCCTTGCCGCGAACACCAGGGCGATGGGGAAGAAGGCTGCCGGCAAGAAGGAGGAGAAGCAGACCAGGCAGGGCCGCGAGTTGGAGAAGTTGAGCAGGCTGGCACAGAGCTGTCGCTTCCTGACAGGGCAAAATGATTGCTCATGGGCTTTTCCGCAGCCTTTGCTTTGTTTTGAGACAGGATTTCTTTTGGCTTGGGCCGGAAAAGCACATTGATGGCGTTTCTTTGGGTGTGGCAGGAAGTGCAGGAGTTGGTCTTGACTTTCAGCTGTGCTTGACGATGGTTTTGAAGGTTAGTTTCGGGGATTCTTTGAAATATGCTGCCCCCAAAGCGCGGTTGTTTCTACCAGCTGAGAAGAAGCACAAGGTGGACACACACACACAGAGAGAGAGAGAGAGAGAGAACCGCCGCTACGATGAGAGTGGCGAAGCCGGACCATGGAGGTCTTTCTTGGAGTAGGGCACTGAAGCGTCAGGTTGAAACAAGCGACGCGTATTCTAGCAGTGCTTCAATCTACAAGTATATGCTTGGCTTCAGTCACTTCAGCGAAGCAAGTGCATGCAACTGAATGTCACCTAAGCAGCACTTGTTCAAACAAACGCGATGTAAACTGTGGGAAGACTACTGTACCCAATCAAACACCAACAGACTACATGATCTCAAGAGTGATTCAAACAGCAAGGTAGCAAACCAATGCTGGTTTGTGAACAGCCGTGACTTTGAATAGCGATGATTGAGAACAGAGTGGTTGAGCAGCCTGTTCAGAAGTTAAAGCAAGACCGGTAGCAACATTCACGTGGACGACATTGGTTCAACATAGATCAACACATCAGGCCTTTTTTGTTCCCCAACAGCTGCTTGGGGTCTCAGCCCAGATAGGCTGCGGGGTCCGGGGCGGCCCTGAGGTTCTCCCAAAGTTTCCACCAGTGTTCCACGAGGGTTCCACGAGGTTCTGCAAGGGATGCGGCGAGCACTAAGAAGAGCACCGCTTGCTTTTGGGGATATCACCAGAGCTTATTTTTTGAGAGAGTGGTATATAATTGGGCATCGGAGCCATTCAAGCTGCATACTAGTGGTTCAAGCAGCCTACCAGTGGTGATTATTATTTTTGTTGTCTGATGGTAGGATCAGCTCAACCAAGGCAAAGGTGTCAACTTGCAAGGCAGCCCGCTCTCTTTCGCCGGCAAATATTGTCGAAGCAACAAGTTGGCTAGACGGGAGGGGGGGGGGGGTTGCCCGTTGACGAAGCCGGTCCTTGTCATGGATGTTCAGGGCAACATGTTTTCGGCCTGCGCCTGGCAGTGAATACAAGTTGTTGGAGGTGTGCGTGAAGCAGTTGAGACATGTGTCTGAAAATCAATCGTTTCTGGACGGCTGATTGACAGGCGCAGCGTTTTTTGACATACATGACATATCAAAGTCCTTCCTCTCACCATACGGAGGGCTCATTTGAAGCCACGACGTGTCCACATATGCCAAATTAGGATTCACTCGGTCCATGATGCAATCCATGGACTTTAGAGCCTCCGGCTCAGTCCGCCGACATTGCACCCGTGCGTGTCCTTTTAAGTTCCCCCGCGTTAAGCCGAGGCAGGGTTTGCATTGCAGCGTCATTTCGCCCCGAGCTGCCTTTGTCTCCGTGTTCTTCGCCTGCTTCCCCTTCCTCCTGTTTATGCCCCGTCATTTCCTATCGTTTCCTTGTCGTGGCCCGTTTATTTCCTTTCGATTTCCCCTTCATTTCCCTGTCCTTCTCAGCTGCCAAAGCAGCACCTGCCGAAGCCTGCTTTTGCCGCCCTCAAGCAACAGACGGGGTTGACAGGCAGCTGCTGGGGCTCAAAAAGCCGAAGGCTTGGCCTCCTGCTTGAAGCTTCACCTGAGGCGCTCAGGAACCCTCAGTGGCTCGCCCCCGGCTCGTGAGTCCGCCGACATTGTTCGGCGTGTCGGACACCCAAGAGCGAATAGAGGTGAACCCCCCGCCCTAATCCCCTCCGGGACACCTCTTGATGCGTAGGGTTTGGGGGACGTACCGCGCGGCAATCTGATGATGTTCCACTTGAAATAGTCTGCCGGAAGTTGGTGTGAAAAAACACTCAGGCTCGAATCCCCCTGCTGGCGCTCTGCCGGCTTGGGTCTTCCGCCTCCTCTTGCCGAAAACATTGAACAAGAGGTGTTTTTTGACCGCCCTTCAGCGAACACGTTGATAACTACCGTGCTTTTCAGTACTCTTGGCCTCCTTCAGGCTGAAAACACAGTTTTTTTGGGCATCCTTTTGGCAGAGAAATGCGTCGGACATGGCGGGTACATGCAGGGGACATGTGCGGAGATGCAGAACAGTGCAAGGAAGTACTGAAGGGGGACTGACGGGGAATTCGAGGGAAATGAAGGGACATGAAGGGGTTAAAAAAACAAATGCCGGGCACATAAAGGGGACATGAAGGAGGGGAAATGACGGTGAAGTGCAGGGAAATGCAACGTACATGCAAGGGACGGGAAGCGGAATCAAGGGGAATGCAAGGGAAACAAAGGGGAACTGAAAGGAATATGAAGGGGAAAGGCACAAGAAATGAAGGGAGAATGAAGGGGAAATGAAGGGACATGAAAGACAGTGAAGCTGAAATGAACAAGGGAGATGTAGGAGGGAAATGACAGGAAATGAAGGGATAATGCATGGGCAAGTACTGACTCAAGCTGAGATTGGCAGCCAACATCTCTGTACTGCCTGCAAGCCACTGCCAGCGTCGCTGCCAGTGACGTGCTCCGAATTGGAAGCTTTCCGCCCCTTCACCTCCTGCGAGGATTCAGGAGTGCCAGGCGCACTGCCCTGGGTCACTTCATCTGGCAGTGGGCGAAGCAAGGCCTCGTTGCGGCTGAGATGCGTTCCGATGAGGCTGCCGTGAAGAGCCATTCTTTTGGACGGCTTCTTCATCACTGCAGGCTTCTTCATGTTGCAGCGCGCTTCCTCTTTGCCTTCTGCTTGGCCTGGTCGCTCATTTTCTTCTGTCCACGCCGGTTTTGCTAGTTTCTGTCCTCACCCCATCGAACTCCACGACTCCAGAGCTGAGGCTCATCTGCGCACACTCGTGGTAGTAGCCTGGCAAGCGAAAGCACCACTAAAACACACACACACAGAACAAATCACTTCAAGTCACTAACACACTTGATTTTACAATCATAAACATTTTAGGCAAGGCGCTCCAAGCTGCAACAAAGCGAACGTCCGGTATGCGCCGTCAATGTTATCTGGCTTCTGTCCAGCCATATTGTTTGCGCTGTCGTGAGCTACCCGGTAGAGACGCAATATATCGTCTTCAGCCAAGCTGGCTGTTTCAGCCGGGTCGTGACCTCCTAAAAGCCTGGCAAAGGTGAGGTAAAACGCCAGCTTGCTATACGTGGCCCTGCAGAGCACTGGGTGTGGACGCTTGTTGCACTTCGCTGCAGACCATGCCGCTACTTCCGGAAAAGAATTCTGCTTTATTTGCCTCAGGCCTCGGTACTTTTCCTTGGGATGTTTCTTGCTTGCAGCAGCATAGGCGAGGCCTTCGCAATCAAACTTCCTGTTTGTGCCGAAGGAAGTTGGGCGTGGTCTAGATGTTGACTTCACGCGTCCAGAAGCATAGGGTGGACCATCCTTCAGGTACCCCTTCATTGAGCAGCAATCTAAGCAAGTGGACAAGCAATGTTGCAAGGTGGCAGAAGTGCTAGAGCCAGCACAATTTTCCGGCAAAAGCTTCAGTCATCATACTCCACACTATCACACACACACACACAAAAGCATCACTGAGCCCGGGCTCAACCAACAACTTGCAGCACTCTTCAAACTGCTGCTCCAACTCGTGCGTGGACTGAACTTGAACACTGTGCACAAGCGCAGCCTCCACAAACTGACCACACATGTGTCTGTGGCCAGGAGCAAAAAGCGTTGCCTGGCGCTGCCTTGGTCTAGCAGAAGCTGTTGTCATGGCTGGAACTCCCGCAACATGAGCCTGCTGCGGGCACTCAGATTCGTGAGCATGGGGAGAAGATTCTACCACTGCCAGCTGAAAAGAACGGGCTGAGCCAGCGCGCATGGCCTCGTGAGCCCTGCGCCAAAAACAAGGCATGGACCAGGCTTCTGTCTGCAGATTCGCTGCCGGAATGATAGCGTTGCAAAACCGTCGCTCGTCTGCTGGTTGTTTGCGCAGCACAGGAATGTGAAGCCGAATCGAAGTCGCAAAGGCTGCAGCTCCCAATGAATAGGAAGCCCTGGTCTGCACTGAAGGATGATAGAGAGTTGAACAAAAAACAATCAAAGGACCAAGAAACGTAGTTACCCATGGTAAAACAAGACAAACATATACATATACGTTGAAGAAGCCGTCAGGGCTAACAGTGCAAGGCTCCCGTGCACCCAGCTGGTTGGCCAATGATTGCAGCCATGCTGGGTGAATTCAGGGGGAGTGATGCGGTCTTGAAGCAGCAGTCACTGCGTCAGCCGAAGATCGAGCAGACACGGGCGATTCCAACACATAGCCACAGGGGAGCGGGCAGGGCGCGTTTGGGATCGAGAACGAGACACGCTGCGAGTATCTCGCAGTCCACAACAAACGAAAACACTTGCCCCACGTCCCCTTCCCACCTCCACGGTTCACCGACGCTGACCCGCTGGCGGGGCAGTTCCGCCCGGGCAACCCCCCCCCCCGGTCTCCCCGCAAGTTGTCATGGGGGTTCCGAAAGCACTGGCATGCTGTCAGCCCTGACTCGCTGCCAACGCGAAAAGAAAACGGGATTGCCAGGTCGCAGTGGGAGGGCAAGCATCCCGAGCCCAAGTCCCGCGTGGACGAGAGGAAGGTGGTTGCGACAGTGAAGCTGCTGGGACGACAAACTCCATGCAGCTGTGACGAGAAAGCCAGGATCAAGTTGGACATGGGTTGAACTTAACCCAATATTTTAGAAGGACTTTAGTTCTGCTTCACATAAGTTTCTGACCCTCTGAACTGGAGCCGTGCAGAAAGCCGTGGGCCTGGGTCAGGTCTTTGCAACGGATGCAACGAATCGTTGGCAGTCAAGCCCCCGATAATGCCTTGGCCCTTTGCACTATATGTTGTTGGCCCTTTGTTGGCCCTTTCCAGCATAAAGTGACATGTTTGAGTCAGAAGCTCAGGCACTTTATGTTGTTGGGCTCGGGCGCCGGGCACATACCTTGTGCTCATGTTTCCTACCTATGAAATTTTTGCCTGCACTGTCAGCAAGCATGGGCACACACCTGCACCCAAACCCGTACCCATGGCTACGCAATTGCTTCAACTAGTGGAAGCGTATTTTTTTGTTGACGATCCTTGGCCAGTTGTCTCTTGTTTGATAGAGGGGCCTGCATACCCACCGTCTACTCATGGCTTTGTTCCCGGGGGGAGCAATGGCAGCGTGATATTGAGGTGGCAGATACGGGAGTACAATTGGCCTGTTGGGTTAAACAATAGTTCCAGGGATGGCGTTTGAACTGCAGAGCCTGGTTTCATGGATTGAAGCAAACCCAGCCCAAAAGGTTTCAGGAGATGTTCGGGGACAACCATGTCTGCAGGAAGTGCAAGCCCACGCCAGCTGGTTTTTCTATGAGTTGGACAGCTTGAAACTTGGGACCTGGACCGATTCTCGTTTTTCGCCGCCTCTCAGCTTCAGGCTGGCAGCACCTGCGCGGATGCCCAGCTGCCATGTTGCAAAAGGTGGGCGCGGGTTGGCGCGATGCCGGTCATGGGCGTTTGTTGAATGAGTCTAGCGTTTGGGATTTCAAGTGAGCTTTCATTTGGCTGAAGCAAGCATGCACTCGTCTCACGTTCTGGAAGATTTCGTTTGTATCTTCAGGGCGTTTCCAACTCTCCTGTCCCAGGCACCAGTTGATTCTTGGCTGAGGTCTGTAACCTCCTGGAATTCAAGCTCGACTGCAGCCCCTCAACGAAGATCTCCTTCATTGTGGACCGGATCATCGACCGGCATGGCACCTGCCTGAGTACACCCAGTGTCCAACACACCTGCCAATGACAGGGATCCCTTCCACACGCACGCTCAGAGATTTTGTTAATGTTGGAACATGTGCAAACATGAACTGTGTCTGCAATGCTTGACCACAATGGCATGTGCCATTTTGGCTCAAGCATTGCCTGGGTTCTGTGAACCCTACTGATTTGGAAAAATCTCTAATTCCATTCCCAAACTAGCCATGGCATCCTCGGCAACCTCGGTGTCGTCATTCGAGTTGGTAGAGGACCAGAACCTCACAGAGCACGATGTCGAGATGGCGAGTGCGAACACGGGAGGAGGAGGTGGCCGCAGGCTTGGTGTTGGACGAGCCCTCGTCCCCCACGTCGGCTTCGGTTGCGGATGTGGTGAAAGACCTCTCCAACGCCCTGGAGCGGCTGCATGTGGCGTTTGGCTCCCCCAAGACCGCGGGGGGGGGGGACAAGGACACGGCGACAAGGCGACCACAGTGCTCCGCCGATGAAGAAGCTCAAGGGATTCGTGGCGGCCTGCAGATGGGTCAGGCCCCGGAGACCCGGCTGGTGGTTCTGCGGCCGGTGGATGACAAGTCCGGGTACTTCAAGCTCTCGCACCTTCCGGCTTCAGCGGCCACTTTGCTGCGGGGCATCACTGCGGAGGAGGTGGGCTCCCTCTTCTACAAGTTCATTGGGGAGAACCTGACGGAGGAGAGGGTGATGCGCATCCTTGAGGCTTATGCCATGAAGATCCGCTCAGGCAGGAGGAGGTTTGGGCGTCCCAATTTCATTACAACAAGGCTCTGCCCTTCCACAGAATCGGTTCCCTACTCATCATGGAGGGCAAGCCAGTGTGGATCCAGCAGCGTGAGGGGGGGGAGGCGCGGTCCTCGGGAGAGCCCCCCCAACGATGGCCAACACGGTTCCTCTGAGGGTGGACATCCGTCAGAGCCTGACCATGGGCAGAGGACGAGGCCATGAAAGTCAGAGAGCGCCAGCAGGTAAAGGTCAAGGTACTCCTTGCAGGAGGCGGAAGAGCAGTCCTTCAAGCTCTACCACCCGCAAGTGCAGCGGGCCATCCGGAAACAAGGCCCTGAGAAAGAGGAGGGAGCTGGGCCCGGAGGCTCGGCTGCGTAAGGAGTTGACGAGATGCTGGACAACGAGTTCCGTGCGAAGCCCTGGATGAACCACCTGTTTGGATGTCTTGGTCTGGCCGGACGAGCTCAGGAAAGCCCTGGACAAGGGCCTGTTCTGCCCCCTGGAGCTGCAGGATGCCGAGGATTTTTTCCGTGGTATGAAGGAAAAGTGCATCCCCCTCATCCAGCGGCTCAGGGAGTCGCGCAACCCATGGCAGGAGGAGGCGCTGCTGGCGGAGATGCCCGAGGTGGGAGCTGGCCCAAAATTGCCGGCCCCGAAAAAACAAGCCCTTGGGTTCAGCAGGAGCCCCCAGAACGCGGACAAGCATTTCAAGCTGACGCCGGAGGAGATGATCGCCATCGAGCGCAGGACGACCCTGCACGTGCGACAAGGAGCACATTGACCCGGTCCTCAGCTTTGGAGATCAAGGCTCAGGTGGAGCGCGACAAACGCCCCGCGCCGTGAGTCGGACGCCACCTTCTTGCATAGTCAGATGTGAAGTACCTGAGCTGGTTGATGGCGTTCCTGATGAGGATAATCAGCTCAGCGAAAGGCGATTGCTTGAAGCCGAAACTCCTCTTTTCAATCTTCAGGTTGCAGAGTTGGGGTGCGCTTCCAGTGCTTGCTGTATCTCCCATCAAGAATGTGTGTGTGTGTGTGTGGGCGTGGGCGTGTGCGTGGGCGTGCGCGTGCGCGTGCGCGTGCGCGTGCGCGTGCGCATGTGCCTGTGCGTGTGCGTGAACGTGTGCGTGTGCGTGTGCGTGCGCGTGCGCGTGCGCTTCGGCGTGTGCGTGTGCGTGTGCGCGTGCGTGTGCGGGTGCGTGTGCGTGTGCGTGTGCGTGCGCGTGTGCGTGTGCGTGTGCGTGTGGTGCGTGTGCGTGCGGTGCGTGTGTGTGTGGTGCGTCTGCGTGTGCGTGTGCGTGTGTGCCTGTGTGCCTGTGTGCGTGTGTGCGTGTGTGCCTGTGTGCCTGTGTGCCTGTGTGAGTGTGTGCGTGTGTGCGTGGGTCTGTGTGTCTGCGTGTCTGCGTGTCTGCGTGCCTGCGTGCCTGCGTGCCTGCGTGTCTGCGTGTCTGCGTGTCTGCGTGTCTGCGTGTCTGCGTGTCTGTGTGTGTCTGTGTGTCTGTGTGTCTGTGTGTCTGTGTGTCTGTGTGTGTGTGTGTCTGTGTGTCTGTGTGTCTGTGTGTCTGTGTGTCTGTGTGTCTGTGTGTCTGTGTGTCTGTGTCTCTGTGTCTCTGTGTCTCTGTGTCTCTGTGTCTCTGTGTCTCTGTGTCTCTGTGTCTCTGTGTCTCTGTGTCTCTGTGTCTCTGTGTCTCTGTGTCTCTGTGTCTCTCTGTGTCTCTGTGTCTCTGTGTCTCTGTGTCTCTGTGTCTCTGTGTCTCTGTGTCTCTGTGTCTCTGTGTCTCTGTGTCTCTGTGTCTCTGTGTCTCTGTGTCTCTGTGTCTCTGTGTCTCTGTGTCTCTGTGTCTCTGTGTCTCTGTGTCTCTGTGTCTCTGTGTCTCTGTGTCTCTGTGTCTCTGTGTGTCTGTGTCTGTGTCTGTGTACGAGTTTGTTGGTGGGTGTTGCACGTCAATCGATAGTTTACAATCCACCTCCATTTGGCCGCAGGAGCAGCATCTATATGTTCACATTCTGCAGCCCAGCGACGTTTTGTTTGGGCATGTTGAGTTTGCATGGGACTTTGTGGTTTTTCACCGCCCAAGTCACCTTGGTCAACACTGGTTCATTTTGCCACCTTGCGCCAAGCCCGGCACTGAGGTGGCTCCATCAGCGACCTCTCTGTGTGCGTCAACCGCTTCCACCCCGAGGAGATCGTGGGACGCGCGTGGGAGCCCAGAACTGCCCTCGAGAGCCACAGTCGGGTCACAGAGCAGCCCCTTCAGACCTGTTTTTGCACTTTGTTTCAATCTCGGTTGCAGCTGTAGGAGTCGTCCGGCTGCATGCATTTGGACATGAATAGAGTGCATCCCATCAAGCATACCGAAGCCCATGGGAAATATCAGCAGTCAATGAATTGCCTGGTCTCATTGGCAGCGTCAAACAAATTCGGCTCTCTTGCCATGATAAGAAGGCCTGGTAGTCATTCATACATTGACGTGTGTATACGTAAACACATGCACACATGCACACATGCATACATGCATACATGCATACATGCATGCAAGCATGCGTGCGTGCGTGAGCGCGTACGTACGTATGTACGTACGCAAGTACATCACATTGCATTACATTACACTGTATTACATTTCATTACGTTACGTCACGTTGCCCTACGTCACATCACGTCACATTACATTTACAGTACAGTACAGTAAATGACATGATATGACATGACACTGCATTACATTACATTACCTTACCTTACCTTGCCTTGCCTAGCCTAGCCTGGCCTAGCGTGGCCTAACCTAACCTAATGCCTGCCTGCACACGTACGTGCGCACGTACATACATACACATGTACAAACACACATGAATATACTGATGTACAAGAAGATCATTCATGGTTCTGAGTGTCGGTGGTGGACATGAGTGGTCTGCCCGAGGAACAAGATGTGCATAGGTTGGACCATGTGTCGTCACTTTTAGACGTCTTGGAGGAGGGATCCAAGCCCGTTCCAAACCCCGACTCACTGAATTTGGCCGACAATGTTTCCACGACATCTTCACTGCATTCGAACTTCCGCCATCGGGCCAGCATTGGCACAGAGGACAAGACGCTGGAGCAGTGCGGAGTCTTCGGCGGGGAGTGCCTGATCTACTATGCGTGGGCCTTGGATTATTCCTGGTATCGCTTGAGGGACTTTCTTGCCCAGCTCGCTGCCAGTGCCTTTCTGTCCCCTTTCTTGCTGCTGTTTTGATGCATGCTATCCGCCAAACATCGGCTGCTGGACGTGCCAAGGATTTCGTGCCAAGGGCCGGCGCGCTGCTAGCCTGAAACTTGTACAGAGGCTTGCGTCTTTCGAGATGCGCAGTGGTTAACGGAATGCGCAGCCTCAGCCGACGAGGCATAAGCGCTTGTCCTACAAGGGACTGCATGGGCATGGACTGAGTTTCCCCTGCTACTTAGAGGCGAATAGGAGCTGGTCAAAAAGTGAAGCGTATTGACTTGTGCAACTGCAATGATAGAACAGCACGTAGGTACCTTTCTTGGAACAAAACCAGCAACACCTCTGCGGAGTGTGGTATGCTGTCATGCCATTGGGGAAGGGGGAGAGCGTGCTGGCTCATATCCCAGGAGCGAGACGAGCATGATGGTGGTGGGTCCATGGTTTTGTTTCTTTTTGAATTTCTACTGACTTGACTATCATTCACACTGCTCGCACCAGAAGGGAATCAGCTTCACTGCTATTGCGACCTGTCGATGGGGTCCGTATTTAAGAGGCAGGTCAAGCGCTGAGCATTGGTTTCTTCCTTTACATCCGCTGTCTCTTGTGAGGAGCATTGGATCATTTCCTTTGCATGAGTCCTAGCAGCCAACTTCTTTCCGGCCATCTTCGGGCAGCTGGGCCATTTTTTTGGGAAGCCACACAACCAACGAACACAAGGGCGCCAGCGTCAATAGCGCAAGCAGGCATGCGTGCGCGCAACGTGCTTCCATGCTTGCAACTGACGAATTCTAGCATGGAATGGGGGGCAAGTCAGCTTGCAGACGAAACTAGCTTTGCCAGAAGGGCGATATATAAATGGGTCTGAATGCTCAGCGACATAGGTCCTGGGTGCATTTGTCATACGGGGGCACACATGCAGGAAAGACCGCGCAGATACATAGCCTGTGAACACGCATCTGAGCAGCTGCTGAACAGCTTTACTGGCAACGCTATGAAAGCTGCATGCACAGTAGCTGCACTGCACTTTTTTTTCTTCCTTTTTTGTTAAATAACTATTATATATATGTATATAATTTGTTTCCCGGCGGGGGGGCGTAGGGGAGACTTGGTCGCGGCTTCATGGTTCAGTTGATCCATGCAGGCTCAACACGAATCTGCACATGCATACGGGCTCTAATGTGACAAGTGCGCTTGCGACTCTAGCTGATACCGGACTTCCCTTGCTGCACATTTAAACTGTTGAACGTTCTTTGTGACTGAGCTGCAACGGCAAGCTCGGGAGTGACGTGACAGCCATTGTGCGTGCAGCTCGATGATGAGATTCAAAGAGTCTGACTCAGGTGTGAAGTCAGTGTATTAGCTCTATCTGATACTGGGGCTGCTCTCCTTGCGCACTTGAGCGCTCTCATGCTTTTTGTTGCTGCCTGGAAATGGGGATTGATTGCCGTGACAGTCTTAATGCGGCAAGCGTGTGCAGAGGTCAATCGCCCGCGACGAGTGCTTTTTGCCGTGGGCTTCATGTCTCTGCTACACTTCGAAGGGGCAACATGCATCAGGCCTGAACCTTGCTAGTGGGCAGCCGCTGAGCAGGTTGACTGGCAACGCTATGAAAGCTGCATACACAGTAGCTGCACAAGGATCCTTTTTTGTTTTTTCTCCCTCGGCTTGGTCGCGGCTTCATTCTTCAGTTGGTCAATGCAGGCTCACACGAATCTGCACATGCATCCGGGCTCCAATGTGACAAGTGTGCTTGCGACTGTAGCTGATACTCTGCTTCCTTTGCTGCATGCCTGCAAGCGTGGGAGTGACGTGACAGCCATCGTGGTGGTTCGTGCAGCTCGAGGATGAGATTCAAAGATAGGAAGAGTCTGACTCAGGTGTGATGTCAGTGTATTAGCTCTATCTGATACTGGGGCTGCTCTCCTTGCGCACTTGAGCGCTCTCACGCTTTTTGTTTCTGCCTGGAAATGGGGATTGATTGTCGTGACAGTCTCCATGGCACTGATTCGCAGGTGCTGCCGGCACTGTTGCGGCGGTGCTTGATAGTAGCAGTGCCACAATGCGGCAAGCGTGTGCAGAGGTCAATCGCCCGCGACGAGTGCTTTTTGCCGTGGGCTTCATGTCTCTGCTACACTTCGAAGGGGCAACATGCATCAGGCCTGAACCTTGCTAGTGGGCAGCCGCTGAGCAGCTTGACTGGCAACGCTATGAAAGCTGCATACACAGTAGCTGCACAAGGATCCTTTTTGTTTCTCCCGGGGGGGAGGGGGGGAGTAGGGGAGGCTTGGTCGCGGCTTCATGGTTCAGTTGGTCCATGCAGGCTCACACGAATCTGCACATGCATACGGGCTGTAATGTGACAAGTCCGCTTGCGACTCTAGCTGATACTGGGCTTCCTTTGCTGCATGCAAGCGTGGGAGTGACGTGACAGCCATTGTGGTGGTTCGTGCAGCTCGATGATGAGATTCAAAGATAGGAAGAGTCTGACTCAGGCGTGAAGTCAGTGTATTAGCTCTATCTGATACTGGGGCTGCTCTCCGTCTTGCGCAGTTGACCGCTTTCACGTTTTTTGTTTCTGTCTGGAAACAGGGATTGATTGCCGTGACAGTGTCCATTGCACTGATTCGCAGGTGCTGCCGGCACTATTGCGGCGGTGCTTGATAGTAGCAGTGCCACAATGCGGCACACGTGTGTGCAGAGGTCAATCGCCCGCGACGAGTGCCTTTTGCCGTGGGCTTCATGTCTCTGCTACACTTCGAAGGGGCAACATGCATCAGCCCTGAACCCTGCCGCTGAGCAGCTTGACTGACAACACTATGCAAGCGGAAAGCTTTCCAACCTTTTGTTTGCAAAGGTTTCTTGGTAGGAGCATCCGCTTCTTATGAACCTACTCTTGCGTATCCAAGCGATCAACCATCTTGGAGCAACAACCACGAGGTCCGAAATCTAGAGACAGCTACCGCTCCAAAACATTCGATTATTTTCCGGTGGGCTAAGCATGAAATACAATCTGAACGTTCAAGTGGTTCATGCAGGCTCACACGAGTCTGCACATGCATCCGGGCTCCAAAGTAACAAGTGTGCTTGCGACTCTAGCTGATACCGGGCTTCCTTTGCTGCATGCAAGCACAGGAGTGACGTGACAGCCATTGTAGTTGTGCTAGCAGCTCGATGATGAGATTCAAAGATAGGAAGAGTCTGACTCAGATGTGAAGTCAGTGTATTAGCTCTATCTGACAAGGGGCTGCTTTCCTTCTTGCGCAGTTGACCGCTTTCACGCTTTTGTTTCTGTCTGGAAACGGGGATTGATTGCCGTGACAGTCTCCATGGCACTGATTCGCAGGTGCTGCCGGCGCTGTTGCGGTGGTGCTTGATAGTAGCAGTGCCACAATGCGGCAAGCGTGTGCGAAGGTCAATCGCCCACGGCGAGTGCTTTTTGGCGCGGGCTTCATGTCTCTGCTACACTTCGAAGGGGCAACATGCATCAGCCCTTCAATGTTGTTGGTGAGCAGCTGCTGAACAGCTTGACTGGCAACGCCATGAAAGCTGCATGCACAGTAGCTCCACAAAGATTCGTTTTTTGCGGGGGGGGGGGGGGGAGTAGGGGAGACTTGGTCGCAGCTTCATGGCTCAGTTGGTCCATGCATGCTCACACGAATCTGCACATGCATACGGGCTGTAATGTGACAAGTGCGCTTGCGACTCTAGCTGATACCGCGCTTTCCTTGCTGCATGCAAGCGTGGGAGTGACGTGACAGCCATCGTGGTGGTTCGTGCAGCTCGAGGATGAGATTCAAAGATAGGAAGAGTCTGACTCAGGTGTGATGTCAGTGTATTAGCTCTATCTGATACTGGGGCTGCTCTCCTTGCGCACTTGAGCGCTCTCATGCTTTTTGTTTCTGCCTGGAAATGGGCACTGATTCGCAGGTGCTGCCGGCACTATTGCTGCGGTGCTTGATAGTAGCAGTGCCACAATGCGGCAAGCGTGTGCAGAGGTCAATCGCCCGCGACGAGTGCTTCTTGTGCGGGCTTCATGTCTCTGCTACACTTCGAAGGGGCAACATGCATCAGCCCTTCAATGATGTTGGTGAGCAGCTGAACAGCTTGACTGGCAACGTTATGAAAGCTGCATGCACAGTAGCTGCACAATGTTTTTGTTTCTTCTTTTTTTTGCGGGGGGAGGAGGGGGAGTAGGGGAGACGTGGTCGCGGCTTCAGTTGGTCCATGCATGCTGACACGAATCTGCACATGCATCCGGGCTCCAATGTGACAAGCGTGCTTGCGACTCTAGCTGATACTGGGCTTCCTTTGCTGCATGCAAGCTCGGGAGTGACGTGACAGCCATTGTCATTGTGCCTGCAGCTCGATAGGAAGAGTCTGACTCATGTGTGAAGTTAGTGCACTGGGGCTGCTCTCCTTGCGCACTTGAGCGCTCTCACGCTTTTTGTTTCTGCCTGGAAATGGGGATTGATTGCCGTCACAGTCTCCATGGCACTGATTCGCAGGTGCTGCCGGCACTATTGCGGCGGTGCTTGATAGTAGCAGTGCCACAATGCAGCAAGCGTGTGCAGAGGTCAATCGCCCGCGACGAGTGCTTCTTGCGCGGGCTTCATGTCTCTGCTACACTTCGAAGGGGCAACATGCGTCAGCCCTTCAATGTTGTTGGTGAGCAGCTGCTAAACAGCTTGACTGGCAACGCTGTGAAAGCTGCATGCACAGTAGCTCCACAATGATTCTTTTTTTTGCGGCGGGGGGGTGGGGCGGAGTAGGGGAGACTTGGTGGTCCATGCATTCTCACACGAATCTGCACATGCATACGGGCTCTAATGTGACAAGTGCGGTTGCGACTCTAGCTGATACTGGGCTTTGTTTGCTGCAACTTTGAACTCTTGAGCGTTTTTTGTGACTGAGCAGGAACTGCAAGCGCGGGAGTGACACCCATTGTGGTGGTGCGTGCAGCTCGATGACGAGATTCAAAGATAGGAAGAGTCTGACTCAGGTGTGAAGTCAGTGTATTAGCTCTATCTGATACTGGGGCTGCTCTCCTCGCGCACTTGAGCGCTCTCATGCTTTTTGTTTCTGCCTGGAAATGGGGATTGATTGCCGTGACAGTATCCATGGCACTGATTCGCAGGTGCTGCCGGCGCTGTTGCGGTGGTGCTTGATAGTAGCAGTGCCACAATGCGGCAAGCGAGTGCAGAGGTCAATCGCCCGCGACGAGTGCTTTTTGGCGCGGGCTTCATGTCTCTGCTGCTCTTCGAAGGGGCAACATGCATGAGTGCTTGAATTTTTGTATGGAGCAGCCGCTGAGCAGCTTGGCTGGCACAGTAGCTGCACAGTACTTTTTTTGCGGGACGGGGTAAGGGAGACTTTGTCGCGGCTGCATTGTTTAATTGATCCATGCATGCTCACACGGATGCTAGTGTGACAAGTGCGGTTGCGACTCTAGCTGATACTGGGCTTTCTTTGCTGCAAGTTTGAACTCTTGAACGTTTTTTGTGACTGAGCAGGAACTAAAAAACGGGAGTGACAGCCATTGTGGTGGTGTGTGCAGCTCGATGATGAGATTCAAAGATAGGAAGAGTCTGACTCAGATGTGAAGTCAGTGTATTAGCTCTATCTGATACTGGGGCTGCTCTCGTTGTGCACTTGACCGCTTTCACGCTCTTGAACTGTCCGGAAACGGGGATTGATTGCCCTGACAGTTTGCATGGCACTGATTCGCAGGTGCTGCAGGCACTGTTGCGGCGGTGCTTGATAGTAGCAGTGCCACAATGCGGCAAGCGTGTGCGAAGGTCAATCGCCCACGGCGAGTGCTTTTTGGCGTGGGCTTCATGTCTTTGCTACACTTCCAAGGGACAACATGCATGAGCTGTTCATAGTTGTTGGTGAGCAGCTGCTAAGCAGCTTGACTGGCAACGCTAGCTACAAAATAATTTTGTGGGGCGGGGTAAGGGAGACTTTGTCTCGGCTGCATTGTTTAATTGATCCATGCATGCTCACACGGATGCTAGTGTGACAAGTGCGGTTGCGACTCTAGCTGATACTGGGCTTTCTTTGCTGCAAGTTTGAACTCTTGAACGTTTTTTGTGACTGAGCAGGAACTAAAAAAACGGGAGTGACAGCCATTGTGGTGGTGTGTGCAGCTCGATGATGAGATTCAAAGATAGGAAGAGTCTGACTCAGATGTGAAGTCAGTGTATTAGCTCTATCTGATACTGGGGCTGCTCTCGTTGCGCACTTGACCGCTTTCACGCTCTTGAACTGTCCGGAAACGGGGATTGATTGCCCTGACAGTTTGCATGGCACTGATTCGCAGGTGCTGCAGGCACTGTTGCGGCGGTGCTTGATAGTAGCAGTGCCACAATGCGGCAAGCGTGTGCGAAGGTCAATCGCCCACGGCGAGTGCTTTTTGGCGTGGGCTTCATGTCTTTGCTACACTTCCAAGGGACAACATGCATGAGCTGTTCATAGTTGTTGGTGAGCAGCTGCTAAGCAGCTTGACTGGCAACGCTAGCTACAAAATAATTTTGTGGGGCGGGGTAAGGGAGACTTTGTCTCGGCTGCATTGTTTAATTGATCCATGCATGCTCACACGGATGCTAGTGTGACAAGTGCGGTTGCGACTCTAGCTGATACTGGGCTTTCTTTGCTGCAAGTTTGAACTCTTGAACGCTTTTTGTGACTGAGCAGGAACTAAAAAAACGGGAGTGACAGCCATTGTGGTGGTGTGTGCAGCTCGATGATGAGATTCAAAGATAGGAAGAGTCTGACTCAGATGTGAAGTCAGTGTATTAGCTCTATCTGATACTGGGGCTGCTCTCGTTGCGCACTTGACCGCTTTCACGCTCTTGAACTGTCCGGAAACGGGGATTGATTGCCCTGACAGTTTGCATGGCACTGATTCGCAGGTGCTGCCGGCACTGTTGCGGCGGTGCTTGATAGTAGCAGTGCCACAATGCGGCAAGCGTGTGCGAAGGTCAATCGCCCACGGCGAGTGCTTTTTGGCGTGGGCTTCATGTCTTTGCTACACTTCCAAGGGACAACATGCATGAGCTGTTCATTGTTGTTGGTGAGCAGCTGCTAAGCAGCTTGACTGGCAACGCTAGCTACCAAATAGATTTGTGGGGCGGGGTAAGGGAGACTTTGTCGCGGCTGCACGGTTCAATTGGTCCATGCATGCTCACATGTATTTTTGCGACGCTGGTTGTTGCTGCACTTTCTTTGCTGCATTTTTTTTTAAATACATGAATGTTTTTGCGACTCGGGAGTGATGTGACAGCCATTGTAATCGTGCGTGCAGCTCGATGATGAGATTCAAAGATAGGAAGAGTCTGACTCAGGTGTGAAGTCAGTGTATTAGCTCTATCTGACAAGGGGCTGCTTTCCTTCTTGCGCAGTTGACCGCTTTCACGCTTTTGTTTCTGTCTGGAAACGGGGATTGATTGCCGTGACAGTCTCCATGGCACTGATTCGCAGGTGCTGCCGGCGCTGTTGCGGTGGTGCTTGATAGTAGCAGTGCCACAATGCGGCAAGCGTGTGCAGAGGTCAACCGCCCGCGACGAGTGCTGTTTGCCGTGGGCTTCATGTCTCTGCTACAGATTAATGAGCACCAGTTCAAAGTGAGCTCTCCGCTGGGCATTTGCCCCAGCTTTGTAATGCAACAAGTGTTTTTGAGTAACGTGTTGCCGCGAGTGAAACGATTGTTTGATGACCGAGCTTCGAAGAGCTTGCCCCTTTGCCTTTGGCGGAACCTGGAACTGCTCGATGCAGATGCGGCTCAGGCACTCGGGGCTGCCTTGGCCAGATGCTTCATGGGAAACTGACAAACTGAGCTGAAGCAAAGAACCCCAAGGAATGAGCGACTCATCCTGATTGACAACTTTGCAGGGATCATGTGTTAGATTCGAGCCCCTCTCCACGCATGTCAACCAGCAATCCTTGGAAGAGAGTCGATGCCGGGTTTAGCGTAGACTTGCCATGGAGACGCTCTCAGAGGATGACCTGTTGGCACATTTGGCGAAGGACTCGAGGTGCGGCGCTCGCAGGGATCGATCAGCTTCCGATGGGGGATTGCGGATGCCCACAGCCAGGGGAGGCGCCCCAAACGTCGAGACAGAGGGGATTCAGCTAGGGAGCTAGTCTGGCAGGCACCGCTGGGAGCTGTCACAAAGCTTGGCAGGCGGGAAGGTTTTGGTGCCGATAGCCGCTCTTTGCCCACCCGGTTCCCTGCTACGAGTTGCTAGTCTTTGAACTTCGTGACAGGGTGACCCCGCTATCACAATCAATGACATTAACTTAGCACTTGGCCTGGAGTCTCGTACGGATTGCACAGGACATTTTGGGAAGGCAAGTCTGAGCGAGCTCTTTGAGCCTAGGACTGAGAAGCCTTTTCGCTTGTTCATCTTTCACCTGACATATTAGATTCTTTTATCATCCAGGCCGGCCCTCATGTGTTCCAAGAACTCTGAACTGAAACCAACCACGTCTTGACTCGCCGTGTGCGCTGCCTTTCCTTGAAGTGGCGGTTCGCGGCCCTTGGCTTCGTAAAACCGAGCGGCCACGTTGCAGGCAGCGGCACAAGGCAGCAGCTCGAGTTCCTCGCCACACAAGTCGGAGGTCGAGTTCGTTCGACTCGGTGAGATTTGTCGGATTTCCAACGACCAATGTGGCTCTGTTTTGGATGCTCAGTGTGAAGGGCTTGGGATGAAGACGAGCTTGCTTTGGGCGTCGAGGCTCTTGTTTGGCTGGAAGGCATTTAAAGGGCTTGCTGGCGTGTTGGGTTGATTTGACCTGTTTCTCTTTTTGAGTGATGCGCTGCATGTGCCTCAGAGCGAGAGCCCGGGCTGAGCTGCACGTTGCACTCGGTGGCTCCAGCCTTTCCTAGCCAATTTTGGGTATGAACATTAATTGGGGACCCTTCGGTGGACATCATTTAGGCCGGATGGTTGCCCACCAACCACTTTTTGAGGGGGTTCCAACCATTAACATTCATAGCCCCACTAGCCCTCGATTGTCCGGAGGAGACCGCCGGTCTGCAGCGCTGCTTCACTGGATGGGCGAGGCTTGGAAGCTGTACCCCTTCTAAGGAAGGTGCAAGCTCCATGCCACACTGCGCCTGACTGCGGGTACAACTTAGTCCCTTGGGTGGGCAAGATCAGCTTTCCAATATTGATAAGAAATGTATGTGTATAGAGTATACAGAATACGCATACCTGTATACTTATTATATTTATACTAACAACGAGGGATTCAATGAGAAACCAATCAGCTTCAGCGAAGACTTTACAGCCTTCCTGGCCAAAAGGGTCGATCATTGGTTTCCCAAGCCTGGACCGGCTGCAACAATTTGGCTACTGGTGCAAAGTTGTCTACTGAAGACAGGGGTTCTTATGGTCACGTGACGTTTGGGTTCTCGCCTGCGAGTGTTCCATCGCAGGCAGGTGCCACAGCGCTGGCCTCACGCCTAGGAGAGGTGAGGAGGGAGGATCTGTTTTCGCCATTGAGGAGATTGGTTGCCTTGCAGGTTTAGGGTATGGGAAACTGTTGTTGGTCTAAATTGGACGCCAATCTTCATCCGTCAGGGAAAGTCTGACAAATAATTTGCGCCCTTGTCAACCAGGAAATCTCTACAAACAGGACCGGAAGTCATGAGGGCATGAAATGCACACTTATGCGTGCAAAGCCTTTCAAGCCCTCAGCCAGCATTGCGTCATTATTTGGCACAATTGGTAACAGTACGCCCATTCCTCCACAACCAAATGCTTGATTCATGAGCCAATGCTGAAGCTGCCAATCAAGTGACCTTTTGCGAACAAACAAGCACCGCACAGCGACCCATATATATATATATATACATGCTACAAGCTCTACAATGATTTTGTTTTTCTGCTCACTGTGTTTGGTTTCGCACCTTCAGGCCTTCGACCCACTGGGCAGATGAGCTGCTTGGTAGAATGGACACGTAGGACCACTTGTGAGTTTTTACAACAAATAACGCAACTTTGTTGTCATCCCAATGCGCTTCCACGTGTCTTGCAGCACTGGGTGCAGCCCGACAATCCAAGCGCGGATTGTACCATTGTAGACAATTCAAGCTGGAGTCCTCCAAGTTGATCGTCATGTTTGAAGGCCAGGCACTTTTCGCCCGGCTTTGCGCTTTAAGACCTCTTGCCACGGCATGCCTCCGGGTCGGGCTTGTTTCGCGCACGGCGCCAGGGCTGCGACGGGTTGACCCAGCGTATGGCCGCGGTCACGCTGCAGGGCTCCGGGGAGAATGGTTTGGCGGCGCTGGACGCGGTGCTGGCAGGCGCTGCCGGTAGGCCTTTTTGGGTGTCTGAAAGGGAACTTCTGGAAGCACTTGGCACAGGAACCTCTGGAACCTCTGGACAGGAAATATGTTTAAGGGAATCCGAAAGGAATCTTTGGAAGCCGAGATGGTTTCGAGAAGGGAGTGTTGATCACAAGCTCCTTAGAAGGAGTTGCGGTATTTGTTTGAGTACCCTCGTGAAAGATCCGTGATGTGGTTGTGCTGTTTTCTCCCGTGCAATATTTGCATACATCACGGTTATTGTTCAAGTTCGCGCATGGTCAATCCCAGCAAGATCGAGGGCTCATCATGGTGGCCATGCCCTTTTGATCCCAACATCTTCCTTTTGTCTCCTGTGTCATCCCCAGCCACCTTTCCCGAGTCCACGGCCCATGAGTCAGTTCTCGCAGGCGGGTGGTCGGTCCGGTCCACAAGACACTGTCTTTCAGTGTGGATAGCAGGTGGGGGCAAATAGCGATCTTTTTTTGAAGGTGAGATTTCCTGTGGCATGCGCTGCTGATGCATTTCTTTGTCCGAACCAATGCATGATGTAAGGTCTCGCACGGTGAACGTTGCTACGGTCACAGTCAGTTTGTCCAAACACGGGGGCACGGGCAAAACTATCATGAGGAGGAGCTACGTCTCATGTCATGAATAATCCTATCAAAGAGGGTTTATGCTCTTGCCCTTCTCCAAGAGCCGTATCTTACTCGTGGCCGGGGACAAGCGTGCCCCAGTGATAAATCTGCCCCCCTCTCTCTCTCTCTGTGTCTCTGCCTCTCGGTCTCTCTGTTTTTTTCACTCTCGCTCACGCTCACGCTCTCTCTCTCTCTCTCGCTCTTTGTGTATGTCCCATGCAGCTCCTACGATCTGCCCCGTGTGGTTCTCCTCCCCGTTTTCCATTTTTTGCCCGCTCGGTGCCTTCAGGGCCGGACCGCCTGGCGCGGCGCAACGCCGCGGAGGCGCTGGCCTTCTGCGGCGGCTGCGAGAGGATGGTGGCCAGGCGGTCTGGTGTCGCCGCCAACGCGCTTCTTGCAAGTGTCTGCAATTTTGAGAAGGGATGGTACCCATGAAGCATCAAGAGCTTTGGGTGTAGTTATGATCTTGTAATGGCATCTCTTGACCCAACATGCATATGAACATTGCTTGGACTGCTTCAGAAACTCCTTGTGCGTGGCTGACCTGTTTGATCCGTTGACAAAGGGCAGAACAGCGATGCGGAAGCTGCGCGACTATCTATGCGAAGATCAGCACCTGGCGAGGGATGTTGGCCGCTGCATCCCTTCGGCGCATCTGTCGACTTGATCAGCGACCATTTCTTTGCCCACCTTTTAATAATGATCGGCTTGCTGTGGCCAAACACCGAACTATCCAGAATTCTGAATACCAACAGACCAGAGACCCAGAGATGATCAATCTCCTATCATGAGAGCCATCTGAGTTGCTTTGAATATGTCTTCGAAACATGAACTTCAGGGGTGGGTCTTGGAGCTCCAGCCTCTTGCGCGTGCAATTGGCGCATGTCCACTGCAGGTGTGCGCTTCTTTGGGGTAAGTTCACGCCAGGCTGGAGCACCCTGAGGCGGATGTGCGTCTTTGCGCGGTCTACGGCCTCTCCAGGCCGGAAGGCTTCGAGTTGAGCGGTTGGGAAGGGAGTCGTTTTTTTTTGCCGATCCTGCTGTTGGCGCCCTTTGCTTCAAACGAGATGATCGCATGAGCGGTGCGTATATTCCTGTCTTGGAGGGGAACATCCACCATCAGTCCATGTGCATCTCCCTGAACAGAAGCAACATGCGCAATGCCCCAACACCAGGCAACTCGTTCTCCTCTTCAGCAGCTCAAAGGCAGAGAAGGATCGCGCGTGGGACACTAACGTGCCGAGCCAAACGGCCCACTACGCTTTTCATCGCAAAGTTCAAGGGTCTGTTGTTAAAGAGAAAGAACATCAGCCATGCAGTTCGAGGCTAAGTGCTGCCTGCGATTTCTTTTCAGCCGCTGGCCGTTGTGCTTTGTACCCTCACCGCGACGGTGCATCCGGGTCGGGCGAAAGCTGTTCAGGCAACCAGACGCCAGAGCTCTGACGCAAATGACAGCTTGAAAGTCAATCTATTCTTATGAGGTACGGCCAAGACCTGTTTTTCAAGGAAACAATTGATTCACATGACAGCATACAAAACAGAGCACAAACCAGAACAGTAGAAGCTCTATTCAATGTGTGCATGCATTTTTTCTTTTTGGTCGTTTGATTGTTCTTTTTGGGGTTCTTCTTTTCCTTCTTTGCCTTGGCCCTGGCGCTGTTTGCCGCCCTCCCACCCCTCCCACCCCTGTTAGTAGTACTATTATCATTGTTATCATCGTCGTTCTTTGTTTGCTTTTCTGTACTCATTTTTTGTTTCGTTTTGTTTTCCGTGCCCAAAACTACGGTTGAAGCCCTAAATATTGCAAGTGCGCGGCAGAAAACCAAAGGGCACGGTCCACTAAGGGAAGCACTGTGACATGATATTTGTGGCCCCCCTTCCCCTCATACAATGTTGAACTTGCAATATTTTGGGCCTCGGAAGACGGGTTACGCACTTGGCTTCTGGCCAAGTTTCACACGTTTCGCATGTTTGCGCGAAGGCAGGCGTCTCGGAACCCTTGCAGGTTGTACATGTGAGGTACTCTCGCGCTTGCGGGATGTAAGAGTCGCGCACATTGTGTTGGACAATCACGAAGCCCGGTAAAACGATAAGGTGCAAAAAAAACGATAAGGTTTTTGGGTGTTTCCGTGTTGTTTGTGCTGGAAAACGATAAGGTTTGGAGCATGGAATGCACGTATTGCTAGCATTTTGCTCAATCTTGTTTGCTCCCTTTCCGTCCTTCCTGTTCACAACCATGGCTTGGAGCATTGAGACCGGGGAGAGGCTTCCGAGTCACGACGCTGAAAACGATAACAAAACGATAACAAAAACGATAACGTTTTTTGACAGAACCCATGCCCGTGAGGAGTTGCCCATTGAGAGGAACTTAGCCGCTCTACCCTAGCTTTCCCTGTGATGTCTCCCGGCCAGGGACAGCATACTTGTCTTTTACGTTGGAACATGTCTTGGACTCTACGTTGGAACACATTATTGCAGTTGATGAGCGCAGGCTAGCCAAACAAATTGAAGCAAGCAAACGCAAACGAAAAGCATGGAAGGAGCTTGCTGCTCGTGAGTCCGACGAAGAAAGCCCTTGAAGCCATCATGAGAGCTGATGCGCGCAGTTGTCCAAAAATGCGCGAACCCGGTAAAACGATGAGGTGCAAAAAAAAAACGATAAGGTTGAACATACATCTAATGCGTAAAACGATAAACTTTGACGCAAAACCGATAAGAAAACACATGTGCAGCCCATTTCAATTGAGGTTTTGCCGCGGCCTCATGTGTGTGGGCTGGGGTCCAAGGCAAGTCTCTCCAAAGTCTTCGCGCGCAGACAAAGAGACGGGGCGGAGCGAAGAGCGCGGACCAAAAAACGATGGACAGTCTACGCGAGACGGTTGAAGCCCTAAATATTGCAAGTGCGCGGCAGAAAACCAAAGGGCACGGTCCACTAAGGGAAGCACTGTGACATGATATCTGTGGCCCCCCTTCCCCTCATACAATGTTGAACTTGCAATATTTTGGGCCTCGGAAGACGGGTTACGCGCTTGGCTTAAACATTGTAACTGGGGGAGAGGGGTCCGCACGCAGCGGGCGATGCCACGGAAATGGTGTCAACATGTGCCTTGGTGGCACTTGCAATATGTAGGGCTTCCACTGTATCGCTGGTTCTTGTTATTGTTTGTTCTGTCCGTTTTGTTGATTTGTTGGCGTTGGACGTCATGAAGCTTTTCCAGACAAGATGGACCAAGAAATCCTCGGGGCGATTTGTGGATTCTGTTTGAGGTTTGGTCAAACCATTGGCTCTAGCCACTCGATGATGACCCCGACCCACTTTCACCCCCCCCTTCGCCGCTCAGCACAGACGCGCACACACACACACACACACGCCTGCCAAGGGATAAGCGCACCAGTTCAAGAGCATCCGCTCAGCACTGCACCCATGCCTGCCAAATGATAAGCGCACCGCTCAAGCGCGCGCCCGTGAGCGCTGCACACACGCCTGCCAAATGATGCGCGCACCAGCACCCGCTCAGCACTGCGCTACTGCACACGCCTGCCAAATGATGAGCGCGCGCCACGACGTACCAGGAACGGTCGCATGGTCCATGGTTTGCGGTGCTTGTGATTCGCCGGACGCGCGACTTCCCCAAAAGCCCGAGGGCGCCTCAGCTGCCGCTCTCGGCGGCGCGATCTCTGGGAGCGCGCCTCAAAGACGCGGAGCCGGCGGTGCGGCAGCTGGCGGCGGAGGCCCGGGTCAGGCCAACCACCATGGCAAGATAGAGTGATTTTCCAGTAGGGATGATCTAGCTAGAAGCCTGCGGCACATCCACAACATGCCAATTATTATATTTTTGTGTTTCAGGTTTATGCATCAGAAGGGTGGCAAGTGGCACCATTTTCATTCCGCAAGTTCAGCCTGGGTCAGCTTGTAAGCCAACGCAAGTGTGCTTGCGCATTTGGTGCTTTGGTGGCTGTTTGCTCAGGCGGGAGCCAGAAATAGGCACTCTTCGGGTTTGATTGGCTCATCGGCACAGAACACTTGTCCATGGATATTGTGCAAGGTTTACCTTTCGACTGGTGCAAAGGGCTCGAAACGGACACATGTTCAGGGACTCAGATTCCTTCGTTCGGTGAGGGGACCTGAAAACTGTGCCCAGAGCTCTAGGCACTGGAGGCCCGGGAGCGCTTGGGTGCCACGGCCCTCGCCGAGCAGCTAGGTGAGGCGAGTCAGAGATCCGGCTTTCGGTCGCCTCGCGCCTTTGGACCTCTTGAATCTTTTGGAACTTCTGCGCCCTCCTTTTCAGTCCTGAAGCGTTTGCATGGGGGAACCGAACAGAACAGCAACTCGCAAAGCAACAACACGACTTTGGTCAGGTCCGTAACTTTGGATCCATTCGAACTGAGCCCGGACCAACTTGGAACTTGAGGCGCGCCCGTGAGGCCGACGCTTGGCAGTTGGCCGCCCAGAGCCTGCGGCGCCTGGGCGCCTGCGGGGCGAAGGGCGCCTGCGAGGCGCTGGGCCTGGCGGTGCCACCTGCGTGGGCGCCCGTGCGCGGGGGGGGGGGGGGGGCATGTTGCGGCTTGGCCTGGGGACGCTGTTTTAAGCGTTGTTTCACCATGTATCAGCATGTTTTCCAGCATTGTTCAGCCACATGTCTGCTTTCGCCGGACAGCGGTGCATCTTGCATTAGCAAGAGGGAGGTTTACTATTTGGCTTTCTGCTTTTCAGTAGTTGCATGAGCGGCATGAACAAAAAAAGGGGAGGCTGACTGTCCATTGGATGTACTTTCAACGGCTCCAGCCAGACTGAAGGACTTCTCATTTGGTTTTAGCAATGCTCTCTGTTATTGTGAAATGCCAAACCTGCTGAAAGTTCTGCTGCTTTCCTATGCCAACTGACGCTTCTTGAATTATATAAGTCGATGTTTGGAATCAGACTATTCAGGCAGTAGGTCACAGCTAACCGTCATCCGCCTCAAGGTGGGCATCAGTTCAGGACAGCACCACTGTCGTGTTTCGCAACTGTGTTCACGGTTCCTGGCGATGTTGGTGTTTGCAGTTCCCACGTGCCTTTAAGGCCCGACGGCGGGCTGCAGATTTGTTGGTGGAGATGGGCGAGGCTGGGCATTTGCAGCACTCAGCCGGTTGCCTGACTCATGGCAAGCTGCCCCATGATACTGGCTTAAGATGCCTTCTTGCAACGCTGGGTTACCCAGTCTCCGCTTCCAGTTTGAGTGAATTATAGTCAACTTTGGTCCTTTCTCGGGCTCTGATTTGTGAGACTGGCGAAGAATTATAGTGTAGTTCATCCGGCCGACGGACTGCTTTTGCTTCAGCTGCACAGCCGGTTTGCAATCTATTCCTTTTTTTCGTATTCTGTCAAGATCGGTCTATCATTAAATGTTGTCCCAAGAGCAGGATCATGGACAGCTGGTTCTTCCCCCCAGCCGGCAGCTCTGACAAGTCGCGATCTGCGCTTTTTCCATGCAAGAGTCCAGCAAAACGTCGGCCTGCTTGCTCGTTTGTTTTTTGTTTGCTTGCTGCTTGCTTGTTTACTTGACAGTTTGCTGGTTTGCATGTTTGTTTGATAGTTTGTTTGTTCTTGCTTGCTTGCTTGCTTGCTTGCTTTCTTTCTTTGTTTCGTTCTTTCTTTCTTTCTCGCTTGTTTTTCCGTAATTTGTCTGCGTGTGTCTGTCTGTCTGCAACGACTGCCATTTGGAATCTCTACGCCTTTGGCAATAGGCCCCTTGACTGAAATTAGCATGATTGGCCACGTTTGCCCCATCGCTTGGAAGTGCTCTTTTGCTTTTGCAGCTGCCTTTGGTTTAGGCATTGCCACACCATCTGTGGGTTTTTGTTCAAGGTTTTGGCGGCACAGACGATGACGATGCCTCATCAACTACTGGTGCAATGATGTGGTCTCCCAAGGACACTGTCAAAAGTGTTTCTCCTTTGAAGTTGCAACTTTAGAGTGATTTGGAATGGTTTAACCTGCTTCAAAGTGTTTCTACTGGGCTTTCTGCCTTTTGTGCTTTTGCAATATTTCAGCAGCACTCGAATTTGTTTGGAGTGATTTAGAGTGTTTTGGACTGGCTTGAGAGTGATTGAAAGTAATTAGAAATTATTGGTGTAAACTTAACTCGCGGCTCCGTAGGCGGCGATTCAGTCTGAGGACCTGTTTGAGTCGGTGGTTTTGACATGAGCAAGCCCCTACTGGGCGGCTCCATGTGTCTTGTATTGGTGCGCCTTCGCGCCCATGCTCCCCGACTGGTGACCCCCAGCCCGGCGCTTCGCGCCTCGCTCGTGGCCTCCAGGCGGGCGCCCAGGCAGCTTTGAGCTGCTTGGGGGACCAGCGCCCAGACGTGCGAAGGAGGGCAGCGGAGGCGGGCTCTTTCACGGCCTGTCGGCATTTCACCTCCGGACTGGGAGGAGAGGGGCAAAACGCAGTGTTCATTGCAAGGTGCTTTGTGATTGGATGGTGCTTAAGTTGTTTGGCACGCTTGTCAGGGGATGTTCTTGTTTGATACCTGGTGTGGCTCCCGCAGCACTGTAGTTTTTGCGCTCTGGGGGAGCCAGCCACCTTGGATGATCTGATTTGCTTGGAGGATCTGGTGGCTTTGCATTTGCTCGTTTGATCGCAGCCCTCCTGTGCAAGGTGTTGACGCGGGGAGTGCTCTTGTTCGCGAGGTGCTGGGGCGCCTAGCTTGTGCAGAGCCGGCTATGGCAGCTTTGCTGGAGGAGCGGGCGCCATGCTCTTATAGCTCGTGGGAGGGTCTTTTGTTGGTTGGGCTCTCAAGGGAAGCTGCGGGGCACGTATGGCTGACATGCTGGTTTGCAAGGATTGACTTGCTGTCCTGCTTTGCATTTTGCAACCATGTGTTATATACAATTCCTCACTGAGATTGCTGTTTCCTCTGGGTCTGTGTCGCTGATGCAATGATGCAAGACTGGACATTTGGTGAGGCTCCTTGCGTGCTGCCAAGTCACGAAAGGTAGCCTCAAGGAGGCCAGCTTGAGTTTGTCAATGCGTTCGCAAAACCAATGAAATATCGGCCCCCCCCTCCCTCTTCTCCCTCTTCCCTCCCCTTCCTTTTCGCGGAATGGAAGATGCCTCTTAACATAGTCAAGCTGTTGAGCTCCATGCGCACCTGAATGGTATTCGATGCAAGCCCCTTCCTTTCATTAGGGGGACCACTTTGCGGTATCCTACCTTTCGTGTCACCCCTTCTCAAGTTGTGTAATCTTCGCTTTGCAGGACCCAGATCCCTACGTGCGCGTGAGCGCGGTGTCCCAGTGATTGGGAAGTTTTGAGGGCTATCGCCTAGCTTCATGGATCACGCCACTGGTAGTACTCAAGCAATTCGTGTTTTTCTTGCGACTTAAGACAATGAAAAAGCGAAGCAGCATGCCTGATCTATTTCCCCCCAGCACAAACTACTATGTCATATGTAGATAATCTGGAGAATCAACACATGAAAGTTCAATACCGAACGAGATCCCAGCAAAAGTGATCCTGATCAGGGTTTGCCTTTTGACCCCATTTGAGTAAATACAGGGACCGTCCGAACAGGCTTCTACACTTGACACCGGACCCGGTCCCTTTATTTTTGCAAAAATTCAATAGGCAAACACTGCGCCTGGATTCAAACGGGGCTCCTCACGTGCCCCCCGTGGAAGACCTGGCAAAGAAAGGAGACACGGTGTTGCTAGTGTGTGGTGTTTGCTTCCCAAAGAAGGCAGGGGGTACCGGTGCCAGTGACACCATGCTGCGCGCCTTCGTTTCCCGCCTCTAAGGTGCTGCGCGAGCGCTACAGGAGCAGGTGACTCCTGCGTTGATTCCAATTTGCCAGGGAGATGTAGCGGACGCTTTTGCAGCGCCGGTTTTGCTTTCGAGAGATCTTGCTTTGTCTGTTCTTGGCTGGGAGCTGCGGCCTGGTGGTAGGCCCCCCCCCCCAGCTAGCTCTTGACACCTAGAGAGCTTATTTAGCCAAGTTTCTCCCTTTTTGCGCTTGGGTTTTGGTGATTTGGGGCCTATGGACCCATGCTTCACGGTGAGCACGCATAGACGCCCCACGGCCTCCTTTTCACATTCATCATCAAGAGACATGTGGGTGCCCAAGCGCCGATGGTGAGTCAAACATGTTTCCTGCCTACATGTATCATGTACGTCGAGTGGCAAATCGTTTCTGTCAGATGGTTTCATGCGTTTGGAGCCGCCGAGGGGCCATCTATCAGGAATCCCTATATTTCCCCGTTTTGGTGGTTTTACACATCAGATCGTCACCTTTTTGGCCCATGAAAGGTGAGAGTCCCTTGGTGGGGCTGATGTTCTAAGGGGACAAAAATGGAGCTTTGGCCATTTGTGGACTTGACGCCTTCCAAACGCGCCATAGCCAGGCCGAGGCTTTGGGACTCTCCGAGAAGGTGGCGGAGGTGCTGTCCAGCCGCAAGGCCCGGGGGTGGGCCTTGGTCCGGTGGCCGGGGGAACTCTTGAAAACATGTGGCTGTGGGCCAAAAAAACGTAGGGTAACTCCAAAATGGATTGCCCTGTGAAATGGAAGCATAGACTAAATCCTGTGGTCCCCTGTGGTTTAACTTTGACCCATACCCATGTGACATGTTGTTCTATTTGCGAGCTGGCAGCCAATAGCATGGCACGCGGTTCGTCCAGAACGTGATCAAGCCAAACGATCGCAGTGAGGAACTGTTTGCTGCGAAGATGTAGGGCTGTAAACATTGTCAAAGCTCGAAAAGCGTCGAGGCATTTGATAATTTGGCATGCCAACTCCTTCTAGGCGAGCGTTCTGGGTAATCTCCACCAGAAGCATGGGCTGCTTGTCGCTGAGACTTGGGGCCCAGTTTTGTCCTGACAGACTTGGCCCCTTAAGAGCCGACTCAGTTCTACCCGATGCAGGAACCACGAACACATGGATGTCTGTCCGAGCCAATGGCCAGACAAGAAGCTTCCAGATGACCGTTCGCTTGCCTCATACCACACCCGCTCGATTGCCCGGCTGCCTGCCAGGCTTGCCAACGGCGAAGGATCTGACTCAAAGTGGGATTCTGCAAATGGATGAGTTTGCCCTCCAGGGTCATCCATGCCGCAGTGGTTGGACGGATTGCAGAGTCTCTTGACCAGAGGTCAGCAGACTCTTCAGGTCAGAAGATCTGACTTGATGACTCGATTGGCTGCGTTGCTCCAAAAGAGGCTCGGGATCTGGGTTGGCCTGGCGGCGGTACGAAAGGCACCGGGTTCAGCAAGGAGTTGTAGGAGGTGGTGTTTCTTGCAGAATGCTTCTCAGGCAGCGCATCCCCTTGGCACGTTGGCTGTGCCCTTTGCAGCAATCCAGCCAAAAGGTCTGAAGACTCTTAGCTTGGATGTTGCACCACACGAGAAGTATGGATATCCATCCTTGAGGTGGAGGCGTAGTGGCTCTTGTTTTCCAGTGCTGTGTGGCTGTGTGTCTATATAAATTGGGTGCCTCTCATATGCCCTTCAACATCTGTCGCAAACAGCGGGAGAATGGCGACCATTTGCGGCAGTTGAGGGTGTGCATTGCCTTCGTCCTGTTTCAGGAAGTGCGCTGCAACATTTGGCCGAGAGCTTGGAGCATCTCGGCTCCCAAAGACATGTGCCGTCCATGTTGCAGCCAGTCTCGCCTGAATCCCTTGATGATCGGAAGCCTGGTATGAGCACCACGGACAGATGAACTCTTGACATCAAGGATTGCCTCACTTCAGATTCCCTGCCATTCCGAATAATCGTTCATGATAAGGTTATGTTTTCCTTTGCAGGCAGCTGGGAGGGGGCAAGTATTCTCAGGTTGCAGCCAGCACTTGCCTGTGAAGCCAACTAATTACATTTAGGGACATGTATGAACTGTAGCTGCATCTCCATGGCATGGCGAGTCCAGAGACAGAGGCAGGAGCCATTGCAAGACTCCCAATAGATTGAAGAAAGGAGATTGACTGTCCAACATGCTGATAGTTGTTCTTGTTATTGTCATGTTCTTCTGCAGTTGCAGTCAGCATCTTTGTCCCTCTCGTCGTCCTGCTTCTCCTCCTCCTCCTCCTCCTCGTGGTCAAGCTCGTGATGGTTGTCACGTCAATCTGTTGCTTCATTGCTTCTTATTGAGTGTGTTCACTTCCCCAAGAAAATGCATTTTCCTGTCTTCTGTTGCTTTCCTCCTTTTGCTGTCTGTGTGTCTCAATCTATTCAGGCAACCCCAGCTGCAATTGCAAGCCTTCCAGCCCGGGGCTTCAAGCCGCAAGGCTTAAGGCAGCATGGTTTCAGTGTCAAGGTTGTCCAGGCTGGCGGTTGCAGGCTTCAATTTAGGTCCACATCAGTCCGTGGCGAACCTGGGAACTCCTTTCCCCATGAACAAGAAAGGCCTACAGAATGGGCAACGACGGAAATCAGCAGAACAACATGGCGCCTTCAGTCTTCTAGTCTTCTGGCGTCGCTAGTAGGTTCCACCTGGGTTTAAGGACGCAGTGCTTTGTGGTTTGGGGCTTTCACAGGGCTCGGGACCCGGCAGGCCTCACAGTTTGAGGAGCCGCTGCAACGGGTCTCCTCAGGCGTGCGGCCAGAGGATTCCTGCGGCTGGATATCCCTTCTTTTTGCGGGGAGCTGCTCCAGGTTGGCCTTGGGCACCTTGCATTTAGAGAGATTTACTTGAGGGTGAGGATAGGTTTGCTTTGGGTCAATTCTGATCGGCCCTTGGTTCAGAAGGTGGGCAAGCCAATAAGAACACATGCCAATGGCAAACGGGACCAGTGGCGAGTGCCAGTGTGAAAGCTCTCGTGAGCATTTAGAACTGTATTCCAGTGGGCCTATGTTTTCAGGTTCAGCGTGCCTTCGGGATGGAGAAATGTGTGCGGCTAGCACGCAGTTGGCGCCATTGTTTTCATTTCGAAAGGGCGAACGGTTCTCCACTGCATCTCCTGTGAGCACCAAGCCAAAGCCAACAAGTTGCCTCACATTGGCGGATCTCTGGCCCCTAGAACTTGAGCGGCGATCCTGTCAGGTCCCTTTGTTTTTGACCACGACTTCACCAGAGAGAATGCTGGGTCCCTGGAGGCGGGCTCGAACCGCCGCCGTTTCAGTGACCCCATATTGGAAAGTCTTTTGAGCACCAAGGCTGCAGTCACTTGGCACCTGCTCCCATCCATCACGCCTTACTGACCCACCCAATTCGCCCAAAGAGAGGGTCACTCTATACGATGCCTCAGCCGACAGCGGGTTCCCGCACGCAGCGGGTCGAAGAGCGGCAGCAACCCGCCAGGACGCCTACGCGGTTCAGAAGAAGCCCCTGGGCGAGGGATCCTTCGGCAGCGCCTTCCGGGCCACCTGCAGGTGCCGCCCGCCGTTTCGTCGAGGTCGCTCGGGTTTGGAAGACGTGCATCGCGGTTCCCCGGCCATGACGCCCGAGAACGAAGTGCCCCGGTAGGTCGATTTTTGTTGTGGATGGAGTGACCGAAGCAGGATGTCGGCCCAAGGGGAAACAGAGGTTGTATGTGCATATGGGAAGCTTGCTGTGTCAGCCGGGACAAACCGGAAGAAGCAGTGTCAACAGCATGGGACGCAGTTGTTCAAGCCATTCGCTCTTTGATTTTACAGGTAGTGCCTGTGACTATGGACGATTCCCTAGGTGTTGGCACGAAGGCAAAGCTGTCAAACAGGCAGGCGTGCGAGACAAGGTCTGCAAACAGTATACTCCCACCAACCCAAGCAGCCTTAAGCCGAAATGCGCCAACTCCAGTCGACCGCTTCGAAGCCACTCTTTGCTTGAAAACGGCGCCATGGTAACCTTCCTCACGAGCTACTGGCTGATGTGCGCCGCTGCTGTGTTGTTGTCCCTGACCATCGCCATGTGGCCTGCACAAGGGAGCCTTGGATGCCTTTCTGACCCTTCCTAAGTTGTTCGAATTGATGCCCTGGGCACAAAGGTAGGAGACACCTTGCATTGAGTTCTTTCCCACTCGGCGCATAGCTCATGTAGCTAGGGGCTTGGGTATGCTCATGAGTCTGAAGCTAATCCGCGTTCTTTAGGGACGGCGATAGCCAACCGCGCCCTCCAGGAAGCCAGTTCTGTCCTGAACTGCCTTACAGGTTCCGCCACACACTCGTGGCAGAACCTGAAATCGCTGCGCGGAAGATTAGTGGCAGTGGCGTTCGCGATTCACATCACCGTATGAGAGTGATCACCAGTGTGTAATGGTCCAACCTGCTTCACTGATTGTGCAAAACCCCAAGGTCAACAAGAGCGTCACAGCCGTGAGAATCCCAATGAAAACAGTCGGGAGCTTTGCCACCCAGAAGTTCCATGGAGCACTCGTTGACTAATAGATGACTTGCAACCGTCGGGGGATCTTTCTCTTGCATAGAGGGCTGTTGCTTTTTGCTGTAACAGTTTTCTTGTTGTATTCTTGTAATTCTTGTAGTTCTTGTGTGTTTGGCTACAGTTTGCCAATTCGGATTTGTCAATGCCCCGATTCTTTTCAATTTTGGACTTCATTTCAGAATTTCTGGCGCATCCAGGACTTGGCGCCCCGATGCGCCAATAAAACCGAGAGAGGAGGCTGCGATCGGCAATGCCGAGGAGGGCGACTTCCTGGTGCCTGGGCAGTGGTTCGAAGGTGGCCAAAAACCCAAATTTGAACCCATGACGTTTAGTGGGCGTCCATGAAGGTGCTAGCAAGTTGGTCAGGCCTGTGTGATTGTACTCTCAAGACTGTATTTGGCAGTAGCGCAATCGCCAAGGGCAGTGAGTGGACTCGGTGTGGTGCTATCAGGATGAAACGGATGAACATGTAAACACTGGTTGCATTTGTTTGTAGTTATTGACAAGACTATCGCTGGGCAACGTGGGGTGTGAGTTGGGCGCCTCGGGTGCAGCACGAGTGGCTTGCTAGATGTGGCCGCAGAGATGCATGGATGACCATCCTCCGACATTTTGGTAGAAGCACCGGATAGATTGGGGTTTTGGGCTCCTGCCTGGAGCTTTGCCGAATCACCCTCTCAGCGATTGTGCATTCTTGGCAGGAGAGTTGACTGCACGGTTGCCGACCATGAGAGTGCTCGCTCGAAAGACCCACTTGCAACGGTATTCAGGTGAGCTTGTCGGAGTATCCCTGAAGCTTGTAGATGAGCATAGGTCAAGGTGGGACCATTTCTCTGTAGACGGAAAACAAGAGGAACCCAGCCATTCGGAGAAGCAACTTGCGAGCATCTGAGGTGTCCTTTCCCCAGGTCCTTTCGCAGGCGGAGTGCGACCAGCTCTTGCAGCTGCTGGGTGAAGAGCGGCAGCAGGAGGCGGGGAGACGAGCCAAACTGCGAACTGGAGAAGACGCGGAAGTTTCGCAGTTGGTCCAAGGAGTCCAAGGTGAAGGTTTCAGCTTAGTTTCATTGTGGAGGTTCAAGAGTGATCACTGAAGTGCTGAAGGAGGAAGGCCAGATTTCCAACCGAGTTGATGACTGTTGAAACTTCGGAGCTGGCAGCGCAGAGGATTTGCTTTGCCGGTATGTTGTTTACATGCAAAGTGCTTTCACTAGTGCAGGCTGGTTTGTGCTGGGATGGAGCTATATCCAAAATGAATGGACCATTATATCTAATGCTTCTGGCCATGCTCTGCTTCTAACATACAGACTATCCTGCGAGTGTCTCACATGCACCAAGGCTTTTGCCGATGGTTTCTTTTTGGTAGATGCTAGAATGCCTGGTTGTTTTCACCGCAGCTGGTTGCTTGAGGGGCTTCGCCTTGGCAGTTTTCCGCCCGAAGGGGCTGGTCTCCAGCAACAGCGGCCCTGGCTTGAAGCGGGACACGGCGCCTCGGAAGTGTTGGAATCTTCTCGTCTCAGCTACCTCAATAGGAATCCCTGAAAAGAAAAGGCCGGGGATTGGTTTTTGCTTGGACAGCGCAATGAAGGCAGGCTGATGACATTTGCGAGCCCTTGGTTGGTGGATGTAGAATTTGACACGAACAGTTGTCTTGGGGGAAATCTATGCTGCAGTAGTTGTCAATTCAAGGTTTGTTGCCACGCAGGGAGCGCAGGGCTGAGGGAAAATGGGATTTAAACAATGGGCTTACCTCCCTTCTGGGCGAAAGAGCATGATTTCAACCGGCAAGTGCATGATTTGTTTACAAGCGCCGTCCATGATGGGCAACCTGAAGGACTGGCTACTGTCACCCATGGATATTGGGAGCCACGGTGCCACCTTTTAAATGGGAAGCGAACGAGCCGCGATAGCCACCAACATACGCGATGTACATGCCTTTGTTCACTGCCCCAGGTGCGTATTGCCAAGCTCATCACCATCGAGCCCGGCGATGTTCGGCGCCTGGCCACCAGATATTTTTTGCAGACTGGGGTTTGCTTCGATCGAATCTGAACACATACTTAGTTGCTTCATTGCGCCTCGGATTTCAACGGACTGCTGGCGAGACATCAACACTAAGCTTTGGGGTCTCAGGGTTCTCCATGAACATTTCAACATCCTGTGTGTATGTTGGTGCCGCGAAGGATGTGTTGCAAAGCCATGCAACTCCTGGAGATAGAGCCACCAAGCCAACGCCTAGTAGGCTCCATGTCAGCCATAAAAGAGCACATCGGATTTCATGGGCCCACTGCATGGCTGGAAGAGTTCAGAAACAGATGTCCCTGTTTGAAGCAACACCCATCTTCTTGACGGGGATGGTGTCAGGACTTGGTGCTGCAAAGAACACTCTTTAGGATCGAAGAATTCAAGTTGGGGAGGCTATGTAAGCCGTTTTTCCCTGGTGGAGGTCCGGAAGATATCTGCGCGCGCAGGGTTGGGGGGGGGGAGACAGCAGTGCGTGTGCGAGAGGCGTTTGCAAGGCCATGTGTCCGTGCGAACAAGCCTGCGTGCGTGCTCCCGTGCCTGCGTGCGTGCCTGCTTGCGTGCGTGCGTGTGCGTGCGTTCATGTGTGCATGCGCCTGGCGTGTACACATGTACATACACAATATGTAATATATATATATATATGTAATATATATATATATGTTTTGGCGTGTAGGTGCTTTCATTTGTTTGTTTGTTTGTTTATTCATTTTATTTGTGTGCGTAGAACCAACACGAAGCGAGCTGGCAGTGAGACCAAGCAATTATTCAGAATTCTTTCCTGTTAAGAGCAAATACGACGCATCAGCGCATCCACTCGTGAGGATTCTTGGGTGCGTTTTTGCTTCCCAGCAAGTTCACCTTTGCCGGGCTTGACGCGTTTTCGTTTTCTTCCGCACCGGGATGCGAAGGTTCCAGTGGCTCTTCCGGCGGCTTTGGGTGCTGGGGCACCGGGCCACTTCCGGGACCTCGTTGGGCGCGCTCCGGGAACTGGAGCCGCTGAACCTCGTGAGCCCCTGGGTGCAAAGTTTACCCGCGACGGGTCAGGGCCCCGTTGGTCCAAAAGGTGAGGTCCTGTTGGGTGTCGGAAAGCGAAACACAGAAGCCTGATGTTGACAAACTCCGCTTTTGTGGTCGGCCGTCCGCCTGATGACGCGAGAATAGTTGTCAACCCCCCAACTCGCTATGTTCTTTGACAGTCCGCGTGCTTTAACGAAGGTTAGCTTTGAATCGCATGCTGCTGAGAAGGCTGGTGAACATCGCTCCCAAAGGCAACCCCCTGCCTGCTGCCTTGAGGCTACCCAGCAGCTCGGCAAAATGCGGCAGGCTTGGCATTCAATGGGATCTGTGCTGGGACGGGCACAAGGAGTTAGTTGGCAAGGCTCTCAGTGAAGAAGGCCACTTTCTGGTAGCCGGAAGCTCTTGGCTGAATGCTGTGTGTTGTCCAGCGGTGGTGAGACCTAGCTTGGAAGTGGCACCATACGTAAAGTGTCCGCACTGTTTCTCCCTTGATGCCCTGCCCTTGCGCATCTTGACATATCTTCAAATTGTTTGTCAGGGCCGTCAGCAGTCCCTCCTTTGGTGCTTTGATGCCAGGCTTGTGTCTTGCTTCATCGTTTCACCAAGGCGAAGGAGGGGCCTTGCCCAGTGTTCATTGGACTTGGGCGGAGCGCTTTGCGACGTGCTCAGGCGGCAAAGAAGGCCGAGGCTCAAGGCCACTACGACTGGCACACAGTGCCGCGCTTAGAGGGAAGCGTGGGAAGAGCCGGCATCCAAATAGTGCACCCAGAAATACGTTGCTACGTTGAACAAAAAAAAGACAAAGTGGGCTGCAGCGTCCGGGTGGTGGTTTGGCCATCGCATGTTGGACTGAATCATGAAGTGCCGCTTCAGCCATCATCAGGCAAGTTTCAAGAACGCACCGCCTACATTGTTTTCAGTAATCATGGCAATTGCCCGCGGAAGAAGTTTGACATAGCTCCATGTCTGGATGAGCCTTCCTAGCATCCAGCAGTCTTTCTTGATAGATCTCAGACTGATACCAAGGTTTCAATCTGGTATGCGAGCTTAGTGATGCAAAATCTAATATCAGTCTGCAAGTAACCGTGGCAGCAGCTTCAACGAAGGAGGCTGTCCCTTGACAATCATGGCGCCGGTTTCTGCTGTTCAACTTCATGCCGCGTGCAAGCTCGTGACCTTCCCAAGGATCTCATGCCGGACATTTCGATGCGGGAAGGCCGGCTGCTGTCCTTCTCCATCCAACTCTCCGGCACCGAGGCCGGGAGAAACGAAGCGAGCGCAACATCTTTCGCGCGCTTCCCGGTGTCAAATATGCAACTTCACGCGAAAGAACGCACACAGAAGGGTCGCCCGCGTGATACGTGCAGGAAGATCCTGGTGCAGACTTTTTGCGATTCAGCGACAACTGGTTGAGGCCCTTGCCTTCTCGTTGGAAGCGCCGTGTCATGATCCCCTGTGTGAAGGCCCTGACGCTCGTTGCAGGCGATGACCGTTTGTGATGGCCAGTCTCGAATCAACACGTCACAGTGTCGGTGCATCGCTCATCATTCGCCCATTTGGCTCGTATGACATATGTGTCCATGGAGCTCATACAAAGTTGATCTTTGGCTTCGAGCCATCCACCCAGATTCGTCACAGGGTTTCACTTGCCTTGCCACAGGACCGGAATGCTTCCTCAGCTTGTGCGATCGGTTTCCACACGCTGCCTTGAGCATTTTGGGCGGTTTGGCTTGAGGACTACCAGGGCGGCGCGCTGATGGTGGGCAGCGAGCAGGCCTCCAAGCGCCGGGGTGCGGGGGCTGCTTGGCCGCGAGAGGAGCTGCGGGCTTGGGAGGCCTTTCCATACGCCCAAATTGGTGAAGCGATGTTTGAGAGGCTTCAAGGGCTTGAAGTTGATAGATCTTGTCATGTGCTCAGACTGGTCCAAAGGAAAAAGGCGCGGGGTGGGATGACCCGCAATGGTTTGGCACAGCCTGTCAATGTAACGGCTGCTCTCGAGTGCTCTGCTTTTCGCACTAAGGTGGTCTTTCCGTCCTATATGGCCCACAGCGTCTACCCCGTGTCCAAAGGGGTCAGGCAGGCAGTCAATTTGTTTCGGAAGCGTTGCGCAAGGCTTTGCCAACCCGTAACTTCTCCGGCTGGGTTCTGCAGGGTCGGGCAGAATAAGTTTTGAACGGTACTACTCGGGCTTTGTTTTCACGGGCTTGCACAGTGACACTGTTCAAACAGTAAGGGTTCATGCCTATTTGCACGAGTGGCTCCTCCACCCCTCCTAGTTCCTTCAATCAGACAGTTAGATGTCGCACATGGTGAGTGGCACTAGAAGTGACATGCAACTTCCCGATTCGGGCGGCAATCGGGGTCCCGGGTCAATGAGGAATCACCAATCACCAATGGCGCAGATTCTCCCATTCTCCAGCTATTGTTCACATTTTCTCATCTGGCTCGTAAAGTCGTAGCCACTACAATGTAGTTGATCCAATTCCAAAACTCTCTTGCTAGTTCTGCATGTCGAGTCTTCGATGTATTTCTCCAGGTTGATATCTTTGGTGTTTAGATTGGCCATGTCCATTTGACTGGCCTTTCCAACCTTAATATTTTTCTTTCCGGTTCATTTTAGGCATTTATCTAAGAGGTTGGCCTTTCATTTCCAGGTATGAGTCAAATCAGGGAGAAAGTCCAAAATGGATTTCGGATTTGCTGTTGGCTTCCTTGTCCAAGAAAAGGGTATCATTCTCAAGAGAAACACGGTGCTTCGGGCGCTCGCAGGCACGCGCTGGTCGGCTGGGTGCGCGGGCGAGTGGGGCCCTCGCTGCACCTGGCGGCTGAAGCGGCGCACCACCGGGCCATGGAGGACGTGCGACGTGCTCCGTCGGCCCGTGCGAAAGGGGCCGAAGGAACGGAGCCACGGTTGGGGGGCATGGTGTTCTTATCAATTCTTTGTGCTTCGTTTCAAATGGAGACTCTCTTAGTTCTTGGGAGTTCTTCAAATGAGAATCCGCTCCGAATTACGGGGCAGGCTTGGTAACTTACTGATTTGTTATTGTCAGGACAGCAGCTGGCCAGCTCTAGCCAAGCGTGGCAAGTCTTCGGCGCAGGCGATGCAGTGCCATCATTCTTTTTGCCAAAATTTTACCAGCCGCTACCACCGTACTGTGCCTAGGGCCTGACACCTATGTTTGGAGGAGACCAAAGCACGTACAGTCATTGGCGTTTCAGAGTACCTTTATGAAATGACAGGGCGACGACCTTATGCGAACCAGGGGCGTGATGGTGGGATCCCTTGGGATCCCTATGAATGACCCCGAAAACCCATATAGCCAGCTATCAGTTTCCATGTTCGTGGAGGGTTGGAGTCGGTTTTGAAGGTCGTGGAACGCAAATGTCTCGGCATCGCATGCAGATAACCTATTTGTCAGCAACATTTGTTAGAGCCATTTGTGTATGTGTCAAAGCCGGGGATCCCTTTAGAGCCCATTTTAGAGGCAAGCCAACCAGTTGGATTCCTCGTTTGACATGTTCCCATTCAACGGGTCCGGCAGTTGATGCTGTATTTTAAGGACACGGAGTCCGCTCAAGTTGGCCCAATTTCCATTGTACTCAAAGCTGTGACCTTCCGGAGTTCTCGGAGATCAGGTTTCTCTGCGGTTTCCTTGCGGCTCCAAGGCTTTGCAGCAGGATGCCATCCTCCCGGTTTTCTCTTGAGGGGAAGATCAGTGAGGACCTGGCAAACTTCCGCCGGATCAGAAGTTTCCACCTGGACTTGTCTCTCGCCCCTTCCCCGGAGCCTTCGGAGGCCGCGCCGCTGGGCCTGCGCCGCATCTATGGCAACCACCTGCTGCAGAGCGGCCGCTTCGAGGACGCCTCCGCGGTGCTGAGGCGAGTTGCGCAGGAGGAGCCGTGGGAGACGGAGACGCAATTGTTGCAAGCGAGCCAAGGTATCCGCCTTAAAGCATTCAAATGGCGAGCACCAGGTGTTGGAGGTTTGGCCAAAGCAAAGAAGTTGAAGGAACGGAAACATGAAAGGCACGGGAGTGCACGCACAAGGGACTCTATCAGTATGGCAGGTATGTGTTTTTGCGCACGGCAGGTGGCATCCAACTGCGGATTCCCAGTCCTTGTCTTGCAGCTGAACGATCCTATCCCAGCTCTTTCTGGCAAAAAACTTGACTTTGGGGCACAGCATGTTTCTTTTTTTTTCTTCCTTTTTTTCCCATTGCGTTTGTTATGTCACTGCCGATGCGCTTATGGCAAAGGGTGTGGTGCCATGAAGCTGGGCCGCAGGCGCATTGATGTGAAAAAGAGCCACGCTTTTCCACGACGAGGGTTTCGCTTTCCTGTCGAATAGTGGGTCTTGGTGTACAAGCCGCACTGAGAGGGAGTGCATCGAGAAAGGGTGGCCTCATGACATGCCTCTTGATGGAATGCTGCGAGTTTTCAGCATGGCTCAGAAAGGGCATTCATGTCGTGTTACTAGGACGCTCGCCTGGATGAAATGAACTTCAGCATGCCCGGCCAGTTCCGCCTTTTGCTCGTAACTCGTATCTAGGCATTTTAGGCATGTGCCTCCATAGGTTGCTGTGCAGGATCCTGGATGCCCTGGGGCCTTGAACAACTTGGCCGTGTCCGAGTACCAGCAGGGGCGAGTGCCTGCAGCCATCGACCCCTTGACGTGGGGAGCGGGGGGATGGGCTTGAGGGCTGCTGCGCGATTGACCAGCCATGAGACTCAGAGTCAATTCGAGAGAAGGGACGCTGCAAGCAGGCAAAACCATATTGAAGACCATATGCCAAACATCGTTTTGGTGGCCATGAGCCGTTCCCGGGAAGAGCCAACGCAGCTTTGTATTTTTGCCCTTCGGCAACCATCCAAAAAAGCCGATTCGACGTTGCTGATCACTTGCATCCTGCGAAGAAGCCCGGTTGAATGTCATGGGTTGGTTTCTCGCAGTGACGTACCCAGGATGCCCTTCTTTACGCAGTGGAGCTGCGGCCTGAAGACGGCGGGGCGGGCAGGGCGGGTGGGGCGGCCTGCTCGAAATCGTCGCCGCGTCAAATCTTCGAGCCCAGAACACGGTGGATATGCGTTGCTCTTCTCCGCTCTTCCAGTGTTATTTCGAATGATCTTCTTGCAGCTGTTCTCTCTGCAAAGTGGTCAGAAGGGAGCAGAAGGACACTCAAGATGGTGGCAGAAGCTGAATGGCAACAGGGCAAAGCGTTCCGGAAAAGTCTGACATGACACACAGACAGGGAGCCGTGGTTCACCGTTCTGCCATCTGAGCGGCGCTTTTCATTCGCACGACCTGGCGGAGCACGACCTGGCGGACAGAGTCCTGCACCTCAGCCACAGAACCGATTCCCATGCATGTCTAGGGCGATGCGTTTCATGCTTTGCAGCTCCAGGCCCACGTGCATCATGTCACAAATGCAAGCAACGGCAGAATTCAGAAAGCGCCAGTTTTCCCTGCACGGCAGCACAAGCGTCCCGCAAAAGGCATCCGAGCGCATCCCCGTCAGTCTGCCTCCGTCGTCCACGGCCTCGGAGAAGTCTTGCTTGGTCCGGAGATCGTCCAGCGCTCGAAGCCAAGGCTCCATGTCATGCATCTCTTCACCTCAAGCCGCAGGTCAGCGGACAAACAACATGCATGTACTTCCTTTGTGACTGTCTCCGTCTTTGGGCTTGGTGTGTCAATGTGTTTCCTTGCTCTTCTTCTCCTTTTCCTCCCTGCCCTTTTCTGCACCGTCTCCCTATTCTCTTCTCTCTGCTCCCCTGCCCTTTCTTTTTCTCTCCTTTTTTGGCTCTTCTCCTTGTTTGTTTTCCCCTGCTCTTCTCCCAGCTCTTCTCTCTGCTTTCTCCATGCTCATTTCTGGCGAGCTAGCTTTCGCTCCCCCTCTTCTCAAGTGATCTGATTGCGGAAGTTAATCTCATACTTTCACGATTTCGCTTCCCCACCAGTAGAAGATCTCAGCTTGTGTTGGCTAAGTGGAATGTACGTATTATGCTTGCTAAGCAACAAGTCCCACGTTCAAGCAGCTCACGCGAGCAGGCATTGAATGGGCCCACACCTGCCACCTGGGGCAGCGAGATTCAACCGCGCTTCAGGAGGACCCAACTATAATGGAGTCTCAGAAAAGAGGGCGAAAAGAGAAGCCACCATTGCTATCGCCAGAACGACTGCAAAGAGCCCAACTGCCCAATTGACCAATTGACCAACTGACTAGTTGCATCGAGTGGCTTGAGCGTCAGGCGAGGTTCAAGCCAATCTCGGCCGCTTCTTCTACCGGCAGGGCCACTTCGCTTTGGGCACCTACCATTTGGCGATGGCACGCGGGCCGGGCGGGCGGGGATATGATGCTACTGTGGCTTTGCATTTGCTTACTGGACCACCAGGTGGCCACTTTCATGTTTTTTGTCTGAACAAATCCCGGCGACTTCTCCAGTTTCAGTATTGAGCTTGAGGTGATTATCGCATGGATTGCGCGCAGCCTGAAATCATCCATGCCTGAAAAGACAAGCCAGTATGCAACGAATTGAACTCAGATTGCCCAAGCAACGAAGACCAGAAATTCATCAATAATTGCTACCTTCAGGCCGCAGCTTGTGCGGCTGGTTATGACTGAACAGCGCTGTGGTTATGACTGAACAGCGCCCATGATTTCCTGCTGCCAAAGGTATTGCTTTCCTGCAAAAGCATGGAAACAGCACTACTAGCTTGTTCCTCCCCAGACAGCAACGCAGCGGGAAGAAGTGAGCTCATCAGCTTGAACTTGAAGATAGCTCTCGCACCCGTGGAGGCCGTCAGCCTGTGGCACCGCTCAGCCGCTGGCCAAAGGGCTTTGGAAGCGCACCAGTGAATCATTGTCGTTCGGGCTTGATGTATCCAATGGAGCAACATTAACATCGGCATGGAGCCGAACCATGCACCGATGGCAGTTTGGTTCGCATTGGTGTCAGGGTATGTTGAGGCAGGTAAGCAGCTGCTGAATTCTTAGCCATCTTCAGCCGAAAAGACACAGGCTATTTTGGGCGAAGTATAGCACCCTCACGAGAGCAATTTGGAAGCAAGCTCCCTCACGATCCGGAATTTCAGATTTCGGACCCACTATAGAACACAGCTCAGGTTATCATCAATCCTTTGCAAGACCATGGCATGTTCAAGCATGTTCCAGCTTTCGCCAAAGTTCCCCAAACGCAGACCCAGCGCTTTCCAATTGTGCGGCAGCTTGAGGCCATCCTTATGGCGTCCTTTATCATGACGGTGTATTGCCCCTTGGATGCAAATTCGTTTGGCCATGTGAAGAACAGGGAGCCTCTTGGAGACTCTCTTGGTCACAGTCGGTTCGCGCCATATGGGGAGCCCCACCAAAACAAAGTTTCTGAGGGTCGCCAAAGTCGGGGAGGGAAGGAACTGAATGAGGTCTTGCCTAAGAATTTGTGGCTTAGCAAGCACAAACATTGGCTCCAATATGTACCTTCTAAGCATTTGCGAATCAGGTTGACCATAGGCATGCGAGCCCTGCACAAAGCGTCAGAGCCATTGTGCTTGCGGCAGCCGGCACTTTGTGCAGTCCCTGACAGAATTCTGCTGATAGACATGCGCTTTCCAGGCCCCTGACTTGCTGTCACAGAACAACCGTATTGTTGATGCATGCAGGGCAATTGAGAAAGCATCAGATTGCAACCGAGAACCGCGAACCTGTCGAACTCGGTGTACAACTGCCACCCTGCTTTCAGTATTGCAATCATTTCCCATTGCCCCTCTCAGTGTTTCAGAGATCTGAGAAGCGTCAGACAAAAGGGCTGTGACCAAGAACACTTGGATGCGTGTCACATATCCGCGTTGGCCGCAGGCTGCCTTTGCTGGGGCCCGAGTGACTCAGAGCGAGGATTGCTGGTATCTTTGGCGTTTGTGCTGCAATTCGTTTCAATTCTTAGAAGGCTTACCAAAGCTCCCGGTGCAGTGCAAGACCTAAACAAGGACCCCAAACACTGGCTGGTATAGTGGCTCTCACTTTGCATGTCCAGTAATTCTGATTTGCTGTCACTCTGGCATTCATGTTTCGCGTCTCAGCATTGCAAGTCGGTTTGCTTTGGTGTAGTACAGGGGGCATGTGGACGTAAGACATGCTCAGCGCAACTCAATCAATTGCTTCTGTGGCGGCTCCTTGGAAGCATGTCGCCTCTTTTCTTTGTTTGCTGTGACTTAGCTCACACGCGGAACTGGGTGAGTGTAGTTAGACTGGGTGTAGTGGATGGTTTCTTTGTTGGCGCAGACGGTCGCGAGAGCATTGACTGAGGCAGCGCCTTCTGGATGTGTTGCCTGACGTGCCTGGGTTGGCCACGGCGGGCATTGACTCAGGAGCTGTTGATAGCTTCCAAGCGGCAGCCTATTATGTATGCAGTCAGGCAACCCTTAATGGGTGATTCGGATTGGTGGTTTGGGGCCCTTTACCACCAAACCACCAATCCAAACCACCAATTGGAGGGAAGCTGATACAGGAAGTTTGGCAGGCCCTTGTTCCTTCTCGTGTAACTTTTAGCCTTGCACATCTTCGAAAGGTTTACCCTTGATTCAATCATACTCGGAGGGAAGAATCCCCCCTTTCCACGGCAGGACATCAGCGCCGAGTAGCTGCTTCGCTGCTCATCCGTGAGGGGCCAGAGTGGCCAGGCGACGATACGTGGAGCTCCTTTGCTGCGCCATACAATGCCGCGCCCGACGCAACCAATGAATGGGTGTGTCAGCAGAAGCAGGCGCTCGTTGAATTGCTTGATGGCATGGAGCGTGTGAGTGGCCTGAAGCTTGGCGGCTTGAGGCTGGAGTTTCGGATCGCGCCAGACGGCTGGAGCTGGGCCCAAATCAAGCAGTGTCTACGACCTATAGTTGAGGAAATCGTGGATGGCACTAGCGCTGTGCCCGTGAGTAGAAAGGCTATTTTGAGCACGTGCCGGCTTGCCTTGCGCGCGGCTGAGGACTGGCGCTGCCATTTTATTTCCTCCTTGTTTCTGAGAACGAGCTCTGGCGCATTTGTCCAGAGTGGACAGCGGGACGCGGCTTTCCTCGACCTTCAAACCACCCCGGCCTTTTTCCGAATGCGCCTCGTTGAGGCTGCAAAGGGAAGCCCGAAGCCCGTTTCGGTGGGTTTCTGCGACGGCTGCCAAGCTGCGCCATGTGGGCTGCTTCGCGTGCTCCTACGGGATTTTTTCAGCGCAGCGAAGATCTCAGGCGCCACTCCTTCCGCCGGTCCGCAATGGCAGCTGGCTACGCACGCCTGAGTGTGACAAGTTCCTGGATGGGCTCAGAAGGAATGGTGGTGCTTGAATGCGGTGGGACTTGCGCGTTCCCCCCCAGCTCTGGCGAGCAGCTTCGCGCGGCTTCGCCCATGGCCGTGTCGCAACCCCGAAGCCGAATGTCGGAGTCCTGGTGGACTTGTGGACTTGGAGCGTTACTCGGCTTCAGCTTTCACCTGGCGTGTTCGCAGCCGGAGTGCCTGAGTGCCACAGCGGGCCTTGAGTCCAAAGTGAACCTCAGAGCTGCGCAAAAAGAACATTGTTGCGTCTTATGAGGGTTCCTTTGTTCTTTGTGGGGTGTTTTCAATAGTATGGACCCTCTTTGAGACCCTGGTTTCATGTTGGCTCGGAGAGGGCGCGCCAGGCAGACTGGCCAGGAACGCGCATCATCCTCAGAGAGACGGGGGAGGGGATTACGTGGCCGTCCATGCTGTTTCAGCAATATCAGAAGCTAGGCGAAGCACACTTGACTGCTCAGAAGTTGTTTGGACAGACACCTCCTCAGCTAAAAGATGTCGAGAAACCACGGCCAAAGCAGTGTTTGTGTGTTTTTCCTGCATAAGGGCAACTTTGAGTGGCCGAGGTTGCCATGTCAGAAGGCTATCATTGGGGCTGTTCAACAACTAAACCGCCTGCCCGAAAACGGAGCCAACGTCGAGCGCGGTGGCCCATGAGCTCTGCCCATTTGGCTTTCTTCGGTTAGCTCAGGCCGTGAAGGCCATCGAGATCCGGGGGGTCAAGAACCCCGCCAGGCTTGAAGCTTCGGATGCCCGAGGTTTGGTTTGAGGAAGTTGAGTGGTAAGACTCGGGTTGGGTATGGAGGACGTGGCTGCCGCCCCGGGGAAGCTTCTCTTGGTTTTTGGGGTTTATGTGTCCGCCAATGGTATGCTTAGAACATTATCAGACAGCAAGAGTAGGTCTGAATGGATGGAACCACATCGACGACTAGGGTGATGATTTGGGCAACATGATCTTATGGAAGGATCCGGCATTGCCCGCAAAATTCGGGTCGCACGTAATGGTAAAGAAGCATACCACCAAAGTGCAGCGGGCAACTGTCCAGACCATTTTTGCTTGGAGATGTGTGATAAACTTTTTTCCTTTGTCTGTTTCGCAGCCTGTAGTCGTTCTTGGTTTTTAGAGATGCGGATGAGGATGGAGTGATTCTCTGATGATTGGCGTTCCATTTTTGGCGCAATGGTTGGATGCGAAGGTCGGCGCTCAAAAAGCCCTAGTTCGACTGCCCCACTCTGTTCTACCAAGCTTGTTGCAAAGGTTTATGTAGGCCCCACTCTGATGCCCACTAAACCAAGCAAAACACCGTTCTGAGATGGCCAGCCAATAGAGTTGTGATCCTCATCCGCGTATTTTGACACTTTTCGATAGAATATGTTGGTGGCCCTTTGTGTAGGCACAGTGTCAAAGCATCCGGGACTGAGTAATCAGCCTTTGGTCACATTTCAAGGCACCAGCAAGTGTTTCTCGGTGCGTGAGGTTTCAACGGGAGATCAACATTGCCAAGAAGCTGGACCATCCGAACGTGGTCCGGTGCGCCGCCTGAGAAACAAGGTCAGGCGCCACGCTGCATGTTGGCTTTGAGATGAGTCACCTACATGCGTATAGAATACAATCCGTTTGCCGCTAAAGCTGTCAGAGCTCCTTAGTTAGACACGAAGCAGTGTGTGTTGACTACACTTGGATCCTTGGACCCATCAGAGCTCTGCCGACCAACATGCAGAGCTCTTGAACATTTGAAGCTGCAGCGCGCTGTGTGGTTTTGGGTAGGCTGCCTTGCAACGCCGCGCTTGCCAGCGCCGCAAGCGTATTTTTTTGCCGAAGAAAACGACTGGCTAAATGTCCGAACTAGCTATTGCAGCCTGTGAAAATGTGAGAGAAATGGCCCACGGCAGATCTTCAACTTGCAACGGTGTGAGGGACTGGAACAGAGCAATTGTAATGGCTCCAACACTGAGGCTGCATGAGACTTTCCGCGATGCCAAGAAGGCTGGCGACGCTAGCACAGCTTTCCGCGTAAGTTGCACACACACACACACACAGCTCGTCCTGTCGTGGCCAACAACACTTGATCACTTGAGCCTGCAGTCTCAGATTGGCCCGCGTAAGGTTTGCGAGACCCGGGAATCTGTGCGGGGCTGGGGCGCTCCTTGCATTGTTACTCGCCTAGATTTATGTATCTTACCAGTGTCAAGTATCCAAGATGAACCAAAGGAAAAGGTAGACACAGACTCATCTTTCCGGGCTATTCATCAGCCACGGGCTGAAACAGTCTGCCCTTGGTTTAATTTTTGTACAGTGTACGGTGTACCAGCGGCGCCCCAGCATTGCGTTTGCTCTTCTCACGTTTTTCTCCTGAAGAATGTCCACGTCAAGAATCGGAATCAAGAATTAATTGGTTGCTGCTAGGTGGTCGCAAGGCATCGCCTGTGCCCACGTTGTTTTTGGCCATCTCTGATTCCTAGCTTCCCCGATCGAAAGTTCAGCGGGTTAATGCAAAAGGGCTACCAGGTGTGTGGCAGCATGGGTTTTGATCGACTTTGATCTTTGTGGGACGCATCCCGACCTTGGTCATGCGCTTTTTGCTCGGTCATCAGCACTCCACAATTCTTTTACAGAAGAGTCACCCTGGCAATGGCAATGGCAATGCAGCCTTGGCGGTTGAAGCAGAGGTACCTCGAGTTTGTTCTTTAGTGTGTCGTGTGCGGCTGCGGTGAGGACGTTGGCCCGCCTCCTTGTTATTCGGTTTTATCTGGGCGGTTCAAAGGCAATCCTTAGTCCTTCCTTTGGGTTACTTAAGGGGCCCACTTTGTAGTGGTTGGTTTTTAGGGATTTAGGATAAGGATTGACCAACCCTCCATTTTGAACGGCCCGGCTACCGCCACTTCTCTTGCAACCTTGTTTTGTGTGCAAGCACTCTTCTCAGGGCTGATAACTTGGCCCGCGCTCTCGTTTGAGATCTATTTGGTCATGGAGCTCTGCACTGGCGGCGAACTTTTTGACCGCATCGTGGACGAGGCTCGGGAGCAGTCACAACAGTCATGGCAGTCGCATGTGCGAGAGTTGTTGGGTACTCGGAGTACCCAATCACGATGCTTGTGACTCTACAAGATTGCGAGCGCACGGCGAACCAGCCCGTGTGGCACTTTTCCCTCTTTTTTTCGCTGGGAGTTTTACAAAGCATAAACAATCCTTTTAGCCCGTGGCAGCACGGCAAGAACTCGGTCTTTCGACATTCTGCTGGAATCTACACACGCGATTCAAGTGAGGCAAAGACATTGACGCAAAGTGGATATCGATGTTCAGATGTTTTTGTGGGACTTCAAGTTCAGCCCAAAAGCCGCAAAATGGTCAGATTGAATTGGGAGGGACTTGTCGCCTAGTGGTTCTGGAAGCTACCACTGATGCGCTTGTTTGTCCGCTCCCGCGCGCAGGCGCCGAGCGGCTTCGATGAGAACCATGCGGCCAAGTGCCACCGTGTTGCCAGAAGACATTGGTTGGGGCTTTAACCACGGCAACATGCTGGCACGTTTGAATCCGCCCAAAGCTGCAAATTAGATGGGGAAGGGACCCTTAGGGAAGCCTTGGATAAGCCCTGGGGAAGCATTGTAGATTGTTTTTGAAGAAGCAATGACCCAGCTGTAAACCATGGGCGAGTGAGCCAAAACCAAAGCATGGGTACTCTAGTAAGTGGAGGGCAGGGAGGGACGTTCCCACACACAAATGGACGCGCCGCCTTTGTAAACTCTTATACTCCCTTGTGTGTAGTGCCGGTTTTAGAGTTTTGCAGGGACAGTTGTTTAAAGGTTTGCAGGAAATGAAGGAAAGCGCCTGCGTCTCAAAACGGGGCCAACAAGGGCGTCTTGGCGTATGGAGTTGTTTTTCACGAGACTGTTGCGCAAGATGAGCAAACAGGTTGCAGCAAGAGTGGCACTATACATACCTTGTGGCAACATGTCGTGCCTGGCTGATGAAGTAACAACAACAACTGGGCCTTTCTTTGCCTGGAGAGGTACATTCGCCAGATCCTTTCGGCGATTTGCTACCTTCATGCTCACAGGCATGGCAAGGGCTTGCTGTAAGTATATGGATCAACCTTGGATGCAAGGAGCCAAGGCTAGGGGACTATTTCTGATTGACGCGTGCAGGAAATCCGAAACTGGATGCCAGCAAGCGTTGCAGTCATTGGTTGAGGCTATGATCTGCGAAGCAGTGGCAGTTGGTGATTGTTTCAGCAATTGTGGCTGAGGGGGGCGGAAGGGGGGGACCGGGGAGTGCAAGTTTGCAAGATCAGCTCCATGATATCAAGAGGCATGTGGTAGAGTATTGGTGTTGAAGTGTCCGAGGGATTATTGACGAGACTGTTAGGTTCATCTCTCGACGCAGCCACCAGGCTGCGCATGATCTGAACTACTCATCGCAGAGACATGTATGACGGACACACTGGAGAGTTCAGCATGCTTTGTTGTGTTGTTGTGCGTGTCTTGGTTTGCTGCGGTTGTCATGGCAAGGCCATATTCTCAAATAGTGGCGGCATCTTGCTGTTTGCTGCCAGAGTTGCAGCGCTCATTTGCGAAGTTGTTTGGAAGTGTCCGAGGGATTATTGATGAGACTGTTAGGTTCATCTCTCGACGCAGCCACCAGGCTGCGCATGATCTGAACTACTCATCGCAGAGACATGTATGACGGACACACTGGAGAGCTCAGCATGCTTTGTTGTGTTTTTGTGCGTATTTTAGTTTGCTGCGGTTGTCATTCTCAAATAGTGGCGGCATCTTGCTGCTTGCTGCCAGAGTTGCAGCGCTCATTTGCGAAGTGCTTTGGAAGTGTCCGAGGGATTATTGATGAGACTGTTAGGTTCATCTCTCGACGCAGCCACCAGGCTGCGCATGATCTGAACTACTCATCGCAGAGACATGTATGACGGACACACTGGAGAGTTCAGCATGCTTTGTTGTGTTTTGTGTGTGTCTTGGTTTGCTGCGGTTGTCATGGCAAGGCCATATTCTCAAATAGTGGCGGCATCTTGCTGTTTGCTGCCAGAGTTGCAGCGCTCATTTGCGAAGTTGTTTGGAAGTGTCCGAGGGATTATTGATGAGACTGTTAGGTTCATCTCTCGACGCAGCCACCAGGTTGCGCATGATCTGAACTACTCATCGCAGAGACATGTATGACGGACACACTGGAGAGCTCAGCATGCTTTGTTGTGTTGTTGTGCGTGTCTTGGTTTGCTGCGGTTGTCATGGCAAGGCCATATTCTCAAATAGTGGCGGCATCTTGCTGTTTGCTGCCAGAGTTGCAGCGCTCATTTGCGAAGTTGTTTGGAAGTGTCCGAGTGATTATTGATGAGACTGTTAGGTTCATCTCTCGACGCAGCCACCAGGCTGCGCATGATCTGAACTACTCATCGCAGAGACATGTATGACGGACACACTGGAGAGCTCAGCATGCTTTGTTGTGTTTTTGTGTGTATTTTAGTTTGCTGCGGTTGTCATTCTCAAATAGTGGCGGCATCTTGCTGCTTGCTGCCAGAGTTGCAGCGCTCATTTGCGAAGTGCTTTGGAAGTGTCCGAGGGATTATTGATGAGACTGTTAGGTTCATCGCTCGACGCAGCCACCAGGCTGCGCATGATCTGAACTACTCATCGCAGAGACATGTATGACGGACACACTGGAGAGTTCAGCATGCTTTGTTGTGTTTTGTGTGCGTGTCTTGGTTTGCTTCGGTTGTCATGGCAAGGCCATATTCTCAAATAGTGGCGGCATCTTGCTGTTTGCTGCCAGAGTTGCAGCGCTCATTTGCGAAGTTGTTTGGAAGTGTCCGAGGGATTATTTATGAGACTGTTAGTGCATGATCTGAACTACTCATCGCAGAGACATGTATGACGGACACGCTGGAGAGTTCAGCATGCTTTCTCGTGGTTTTTGCGTGCCTTGATTCTTTGCGGTTGTCACCGCAAGGCCGGGTTTCAATGGAGGCATCTAGCTGCTTGCTGCCAGAGTTGCAGCGTGCACTTGAGAAGTGTTTGGGAAGTGTCCGAGGGATTATTGATGAGACTGTTAGGTTCATCTCTCGACGCAGCCACCAGGCTTCGCATGATCTGAACTACTCATCGCAGAGACATGTATGACGGACACGCTGGAGGGTTCAGCATGCTTTGTTGTGTTTTTTGTGCGTGTCTTGGCTTACTGCGGTTGTCATGGCAAGGCCATACTCTCAAATAGTGGCTGCATCTTGCTGTTTGCTGCCAGAGTTGCAGCACTCATTTGCGCAGTGTTTTGGAATTGTCTGAGGGATTATTGATGAGACTGTTAGGTTCATCTCTCGACGCAGCCACGGAGCCGTGCATGATCTGAGCTACTCATCGCGGAGACATGTATGACGGACACGCTGGAGAGTTAAGCATAGTTTCTCCTGGTTTTTGCGTGTCTTGATTCTTTGCGGTTGTCACCGCAAGGCCAGGTTTCAATGGAGGCATTTAGCTGCTTGCTGCCAGAGTTGCAGCGTGCACTTGAGAAGTGTTTGGGAAGTGTCCGAGGGATTATTGATGAGACTGTTCGGTTCATCTCTCGACGCAGCCACTGAGCTGTGCATGATCTGAACTACCCATCGCAGAGACATGTATGACGGACACGCTGGAGAGTTAAGCATAGTTTCTCGTGGCTTTTGCGTGTCTTGATTCTTTGCGGTTGTCACCGCAAGGCCAGGTTTCAATGGAGGCATCTAGCTGCTTGCTGCCAGAGTTGCAGCGTGCACTTGAGAAGTGTTTGGGAAGTGTCCGAGGGATTATTGATGAGACTGTTAGGTTCATCTCTCGACGCAGCCACCAGGCTGCGCGTGATCTGAACTACTCATCGCAGAGACATGTATGACGGATACACTGGAGAGCTCAGCATGCTTTGTTGTGTTTTTGTGCGTGTCTTGGTTTGCTGCGGTTGTCATGGCAAGGCCATATTCTCAAATAGTGGCGGCATCTAGCTGCTTGCTGCCAGAGTTTGCAGCGCTCATTTGCGAAGTGTTTTGGAAGTGTCCGAGGGATTATTGATGAGACTGTTAGGTTCATCTCTCGACGCAGCCACCAGGCTGCGCATGATCTGAACTACTCATCGCAGAGACATGTATGACGGACACACTGGAGAGTTCAGCATGCTTTGTTGTGTTTTTTGTGCGTGTCCTTTTTTGCTGCGGTTGTCATGGCAAGGCCATACTCGCATATAGTGGCCGCATCTTGCTGTTTGCTGCCCAGAGTTGCAGCGCTCATTTGCGAAGTGTTGAGGAAGTGTCCGAGGGATTATTGATGAGACTGTTAGGTTCATCTCTCGACGCAGCCACCAGGCTGCGCATGATCTGAACTACTCATCGCAGAGACATGTATGACGGACACGCTGGAGAGTTCAGCATGCTTTCTCGTGGTTTTTGCGTGCCTTGATTCTTTGCGGTTGTCACCGCAAGGCCAGGTTTCAATGGAGGCATCTAGCTGCTTGCTGCCAGAGTTGCAGCCTGCACTTGAGAAGTGTTTGGGAAGTGTCCGAGGGATTATTGATGAGACTGTTAGGTTCATCTCTCGACGCAGCCACCAGGCTGCGCATGATCTGAACTACTCATCGCAGAGACATGTATGACGGATACACTGGAGAGCTCAGCATGCTTTGTTGTGTTTTTGTGCGTGTCTTGGTTTGCTGCGGTTGTCATGGCAAGGCCATACTCTCAAATAGTGGCGGCATCTTGCTGCTTGCTGCCAGAGTTTGCAGCGCTCATTTGCGAAGTGTTTTGGACGTGTGCGAGGGATTATTGATGAGACTGTTAGGTTCATCTCTCGACGCAGCCACCAGGCTGCGCATGATCTGAACTACTCATCGCAGAGACATGACGGACACACTGGAGAGCTCAGCATGCTTTGTTGTGTTTTTGTGCGTATTTTAGTTTGCTGCGGTTGTCATTCTCAAATAGTGGCGGCATCTTGCTGCTTGCTGCCAGAGTTGCAGCGGGCACTTGAGAAGTGTTTGGGAAGTGTCCGAGGGATTATTGATGAGACTGTTAGGTTCATCTCTTGCCTCAGCCACCAGGCTGCGCATGATCTGAACTACTCATCGTAGAGACATGCATGACAGACACACTGGAGAGTTCAGCTTGCATTGTTGTGTTTTTTGTGCGTGTCTTGGTTTGCTGCGGTTGTCATGGCAAGGCCATATTCTCAAATAGTGGCGGCATCTTGCTGTTTGCTGCCAGAGTTGCAGCGCTCATTTGCGCAGTGTTTTGGAATTGTCCGAGGGATTATTGATGAGACTGTTAGGTTCATCTCTCGACGCAGCCACTGAGCTGTGCATGATCTGAACTACTCATCGCAGAGACATGTATGACGGACACGCTGGAGAGTTAGGCATAGTTTCTCGTGGTTTTTGCGTGTCTTGATTGTTTGCGGTTGTCACCGCAAGGCCAGGTTTCAATGGAGGCATCTAGCTGCTTGCTGCCAGAGTTGCAGCGTGCACTTAGAGAAGTGTTTGGGAAGTGTCCGAGGGATTATTGATGAGACTGTTAGGTTCATCTCTCGACGCAGCCACCAGGCTGCGCATGATCTGAACTACTCATCGCAGAGACATGTATGACGGATACACTGGAGAGCTCAGCATGCTTTGTTGTGTTTTTGTGCGTGTCTTGGTTTGCTGCGGTTGTCATGGAAAGATATATTTTCAAATAGTGGCGGCATCTTGCTGCTTGCTGCCAGAGTTGCAGCGCTCATTTGCGAAGTGTTTTTGAAGTGTCCGAGGGATTATTGATGAGACTGTTAGGTTCATCTCTCGACGCAGCCACTAGGCTGCGCATGATCTGAACTACTCATCGCAGAGACATGTATGACGGACACGCTGGAGAGCTCAGCATGCTTTGTCGGGTTGTTGTGATTGTCTTGGTGCTCTGCGGTCCTCAAGGCGAGGGGTAAAATAGTGGTGGCATTTTGCTGCTTGCTGCCAGAGTTGCAGCGCTCATTCGAGAAGTGTCTGGGAAGTGTCCGAGGGATTATTGATGAGACTGTTAGGTTCATCTCTCGACGCAGCCACCAGGCTGCGCATGATCTGAACTACTCATCGCAGAGACATGTATGACGGACGCCGTGACGAGTTCAGCGTGCTTCGTTGAGAGCCTTCTTTGCGTGTCTTGGTTCTCGTCCGTGTCGGCTGTGAAAGCAGGGCCAGGTTTGGTTTGGTGGAAACATGCTGCTGCTTGGTGCCACTGTTGCACGGAGCATTTGGGAAATGTCCGAGGGATTATTGATGAGACTGTTAGGTTCATCTCTCGACGCAGCCACCAAGCTGCGCATGATCTGAACTACTCATCGCAGAGACATGTATGACGGACGCCGTGCAGAGTTCAGCATGCTTTCTCGCGGTTTTGTGCGTGTCTTGGTTCTCTCCGGTTGCCACCGCAAGACCAGGTGTGAATCGAGGCATCTTACTGCTTGCTGCCAGCGTTGCAGCTCTCATTATTTGAGAAGTGTTTGGGAAGTGTCCGAGGGATTATTGATGAGACTGTTAGGTTCATCTCTCGACGCATCCACAAGGCTGCGCATGATCTGAACTACTCATCGCAGAGACATGTATGACGGACACACTGGAGAGTTCAGCATGCTTTGTTGTGTTCTTGTGCGTGTCTTGGTTTGCCGCGGTTGTCATGGCAAGGCCATATTCTCAAATAGTGGCGGCATCTTGCTGTTTGCTGCCAGAGTGCAGCGCTCATTTGCGAAGTTGTTTGGAAGTGTCCGAGGGATTATTGATGAGACTGTTAGGTTCATCTCTCGACGCAGCCACTGAGCTGTGCATGATTTGAACTACTCATCGCAGAGACATGTATGACGGACACGCTGGAGAGATAAGCATTGTTTCTCGTGGTTTTTGCGTGTCTTGATTCTTTGCGGTTGTCACCGCAAGGCCGGGTTTTAATGGAGGCATCTAGCTGCTTGCTGCCAGAGTTGCAGCGTGCACTTGAGAAGTGTTTGGGAAGTGTCCGAGGGATTATTGATGAGACTGTTAGGTTCATCTCTCGACGCAGCCACCAGGCTGCGCATGATCTGAACTACTCATCGCAGAGACATGTATGACGGATACACTGGAGAGCTCAGCATGCTTTGTTGTGGATTTGTGCGTGTCTTGGTTTGCTGCGGTTGTCATGGCAAGGCCATACTCTCAAATAGTGGCGGCATCTTGCTGCTTGCTGCCAGAGTTGCAGCGCTCATTTGCGAAGTGTTTTTGAAGTGTCCGAGGGATTATTGATGAGACTGTTAGGTTCATCTCTCGACGCAGCCACTGAGCTGTGCATGATCTGAACTACTCATCGCAGAGACATGTATGACGGGCACACTGGAGAGTTCAGCATGTGTCTTTTTTTTTGTGAGCGTGTGCTGAGGTCAGGAGGTTTTTACTGCTGCCGCTTTTAAGTTGAGGATTTGGAACGCGTCCGAGGGATTACTGATGAGACTGTTAGGTTCATCTCTCGACGCAGCCACCAGGCTGCGCATGATCTGAACTACTCATCGCAGAGACATGTTTGACGGACGAACGTCAGTGGTGTTTGATGGTCTCGAGTTTTTCGGCAGCAAGCAACACATGTGGTTTTGGGGATTTTGGCAAAGCTGCACACCAGATCACAGATTCGTGTGTGGAATTGCTCATATTGCCGACATGTATGTCTGGCAGAGTTTGGCAGTGTCTAGGTTCCAAACATGTATGCGCATGCTTCTTTGATTGTGGTCTTTGTGTGCGTCGTTTTGTCATCGCTTTGCTTGTAAGGTAGCTGGCTTGTATTTGCAGTCAACTGGCCTGTCCAGTCGCTGACACAATCTTTTCTTACGTCGCACAAAATGCGACCACAGCCTGTGTGTTGGCTCTGATCGGTGTGATTTGTTTGGGCAGATTCTTGCAGGCCTGGAAAAACTGAAAACATTGGCTTAGAAAGTCATGGATGTTTAGGGAGGGCTGCAGCAACTCAGCAACCAGAGTGTTGGTGTCAATTTCGGCGAGGTTTGCTCACCGGGATGTGCCTTGGCTTAATTTGGACCAGAGTTTCTGCAGTTTCAACCTGGCACAAATACATGAGACTGAGACGAGTTTATTTCTTTTCGTTTGCAAGCTTCAACATGGCGTGCCAACATGAGTGTCCATGTCCCCATTGCGTGAGTGTCCTTGTTTGATTTCCCTTTCAACCTCCAATTTGGTGCATGGCCCTCGCTTCCTTGCCACGAGCGGGGAAAAACTCGAGGTGAAGCCTGAGAACTTCTTGTTCCACGATCCCTCCCCGGAGTCCCAGCTCAAGGTCTCCGGATCTGGATCGGGGCCGGAGGTTTGGCCAATCGGATTGGTCTATACGTTTTGGACACGGCGGGGCCTCACGAACTGTTCCACATCAGGGTCGCTCTCTCGTTTCCCCAAGTCGGGCAACCATTTGACCTGGCGCAATGTGCGAGACAGGGAAACACAAGATGTGGCCAAGTACCTCTCCTCACCAATTGGGATCTGATTGTGGCTTCAACTATCCGGGTACATTCTGGAATGTCTTAGTTGTACAGATAGTGGAGCATCCACAGCTGCTTTCCCATATCAAACCAATATTGGTTCCTTGCATTCCGACTTTGCTCATCAACATGATGCCGATGGGCGGTTGGCCTCCGTGTTGTTTCATAGATACTTTATAACCATTGATTCGCTCGTTGAAGCAGGCCTCGGTGGGGCAGAGTGGTTTCCTGGTGTTGCAAGGTTGGCAGATGTGACCCGGGCGCATCTTGCATCATGGCGTTGGATCAGCCTGGTTGCTTCATTTGCTGTCCCGCACAGAGAGGCAAACACTGTCAGCGTCCAACACTCAAAAATGCATGCTGGGTCAACGTATGTTCAATGTCATTCCGGCAAACTCGTCAGTCAGAAAGCACTTGCATTTGCATGCGGGCTGTGTTTGTGTGCAGCAAGCTCCTATTTCACTACATTCCATGTATGATTGGTAGCTGCCTTCGTGCCTGAAGACAATGGCACCATCCGCTGGTGCCCAGTAGGGGGTCTCTACTCACCAGCCTGAGAATTCCTTTCGACAGAGGAACAGGGGCAAGGCCCAGGTCGCACTAGCGCTTTTGCTGAGCCTGTGCTCTTGTCAGATCATCGACTTCGGGCTGGCCTGCCAGTTCGAGCCCGGCATCAAGATGAGTACGAAGGCTGCCGCTTGCTTGCTGCTTTGCCTTCACAGGCTTTCTCATATTTTTGCCCAGCTGACCTTAACCAGTTAAGCACAGTTACCAGCTGAAGAGAACGTCAGGCATGGCTTGCTGCGTTCCATTTTGGCATGGTGGCGTGCTCGGGCTAGGCAGAAGACAATGTGTTCTGAATTGAAATGAAGCGTCGCCAATATGCCGGCCCCGCCCCGCTTGCACCACACCGGGTGTGCCTGATTTGTGCCCCGGTCTCACAGGCAGGGACTGCTTACTATGTCGCTCCCGAGGCAGGGAGGCCCAGGATGTGCTGGAAATAATTGGGAGTGATCCTTTGAAAGAGTCCATTTCAGGGCCGTTCACAAAGGGGATGCCTTGTAACCCTTTTTCGCCCCCTTCAACAGGGACCATAAAGAGCTCTTGGGTCAAAAAAGTTGGGACCATTCTTTCTGAACAACTCTTATTTTGCCGCATACCACTGTTCAGAATGTGGGTGCACCAGTGCGTCCAATGTTGCCTTTGCGTTCCGTCAACCGAACAAAAAGGTTCGGCTGGGAAGCTGAGCTTAGCCTTTGCTTGAAGGCTTGTGGCTTCGACATGGTGGTATCTGGGGTAGTGTTTCAGCGATCTTGGGCAAGCCAAGCGAATCATCTCCTTTCGGAGTCGAGCACTGAGGCAAGTTGGCATGTGTCCTCATCTTTCGTGGCACCAGTGAAACCGTCGCCCACTCGCTAAAAGGGTGTACTCGCACGCTGGGCACCTTGAGGTGCTGAAGGGTGATTACGACGAGAAGTGCCCATGCCCCATGAGCCAGTCATGTCGGCCTTGGGCATGAGACATCTTGGCTTTGAACTGGGTGCTCCCAGGACGCCGGTTCACTGAAAGCTGCCAGCTATTGTGTTTTACACTGACGCACAGGCCCCCGTGAGAGCCTGGATTTGGCTCAGGAAAACTCACCTTCAAGCTGCCTGCTATTGTGATTTGCAGTTTTGAGCAACGCGTTGGTATCTTTTCGCAAAATTCAGAGCTGGGCTTGATTTTGCCTTCAGCTGACAAGGGAGGTCGTTGATCAGCCGGGGTTCGTCCTCCCGTGCCAAGTGCTTTTGCACTTCTGAAGAGGTTTGGGGGGGGAGGGACATTTTGGGTGGCCTGTTTTTTTGTTTTGTTGTTTTTTGTGGGGGGATGGGATGAAAGCGCACTGGAGTGCATCTCATGGCAGTGCTTTTGGTCTGAGAAAGCAGATCAACTCTTGGTGATACTCATGATACAGCCAAGCCCCAAGTTTGTTCTAGATGCATGGTTGCTGCTGCTGGCCTTGTCGTGATGTTGACTTACTCCTTTCTCTTTCCTTCTTCCACATTGGGGATGGATTGCTCGCTTTGATAGAATTCGCGCTCTCGAGCATCTATTTTCCAGAAATCTCTGAGGTGACGTTTGGAGCGCCGGCGCCAGGGGCTTAGTCACCGTAAATAGTCTGGGATGACAAGACGCGGCTCGCACAGACACAGACACAGACACACACACACACACACATACACGCATGCAGACATGCAGACATTCACGGTCTATCCTTCTACAAAACATGCGCACTGAATCCTCCAATCCTCCGCTGAGGTCATTTCCTTTGTTCTGCTCTGTGGCTTTCCACCCTTCTCAGGTGTGGCGCTGTGGGCGTTCTTTGGCAGCCAATTGCAGCGTGATTAACACAGTTTTGGTGCAGAAGCGCATACAAGTATGCACCAAAAAGCAACCATCAATTGGAATATGGAAGAAGCGTACACGCAAGCGTGAACACACACACACACAGATAGCATGTTTAAACCGGGAAAGCAAGACACATGTCACATTGCTCGCCTTGGAGGAACACACTTGGCGCCCTGATCTTTGCAGACGTTCTGCCCAAGACAGCCATGATTCCCAATGGTATGACCTTTTTGATGGAGTGCTTGAGTTTCCTCGGTGAAGTTTGCCGCATTTTGCTGCTTGTCGATTGCCTCTGCTTGCGCGCTCGGGAAAAAAAGAAAAAACAAAAAAACTAAGCAATGTTGGCAACAACATCCCCCTGCGACAGGTGACACGGATCCTGAGATCCTCAAGAAGGCTGGCTGGTTGATTGCGATGTAAGCAGCTTTTGGGCCTTGATTCCTGCACTTCGCAGAGAATGAAGATCTTCCGACCCACGGCTTACGGCAATGGTCTTACTTATTTCTATTTTGAATGCACGTATGTCAATGAGTTCTTCAACATGTGATCTCTTAATCGGGTAGTTATGCCTGGGGATTGAAGGAGACGGAGCTTCGGCACCGCTTGGTGGAGAAAAGAAGAATGCTTCGCCAGATTCAATACATGGAAGTGTACCATTCGCGGTTCCTCGCCAAATGGCTTGATGTTCCCAAAGGGATGCTTGTACGGGGTTGTGATGCAGGCTCGCAGACAACTCCACAGCAGTAAAGGCAACTTAATGCCGCCAGCCTTCCTGGCGAGTGGTTGATTAGACAGCCATGCCTGGCCATGCCTGGTCTCTCCCAAAGCTTAGAGGGTGCGCTGAGAACCAATGAAACTGATGTGTTTGGGTCCCTCCGGCGCCAAATGAGGTCGGCCTGTGGCACATGTTCCCTTGGTACCTGCTGTTCCATTTGAGGTCCCCTTCCAGTAGCAGAGAGGGGCGATGCGGCCCTGGGTGTCAGGTGAAGTCTGGCAGCTTCGAGTTTCGCTCACCGGAGTGGGACACCATCTCCCAAGGCGGAACTGCTGCTGTGGGGACTGCAAAGGCTAGTGCGAAATGATTACACAGGTTTGCTTGCATTTGTGTGGGGACGTCATTCCTTTGCGAGAATTGCTTTGGGAGGATCCTTCGTAACACAACAGCAACAGCAGCATTCACATTCTGCTTGATTGCATGCCTCCTAGGTATTCTGCTTGGATACCTGTGGGAAATGCCTAAAACAAATCAATCAATCCAGTGTCCACATTCATGTTTGGAGAACTTAGTATCATGACAGGGAGCCTAGATGCAGGTAGCTTCACAGAGGTTGAGTCCAGCCTTTTTCATTTCTTGGTTTGGAATTGGAGGGAACCTCAGCCATTTGGTCCAGAGCTTAGTCAAAGAGCGTGCAACATCCTCGCTGCTGGACAGGGACCAGTCGTTCATGCCGTTTCTCCATGGTATGGCTGCGGAATCCACAGCGTAGAAGCATGGGTAAGAACATCACCAAGCCTTGTTGCCATCACAGATGGTAGTGCTTGTTACTACTAGCTGCTTGGGCCGACCGTTTACCAATCTACGTGACAGGAGCCAAATTTCTCCTTCCACAGTTTGGACATTTAAATCGATCACAGCGAGAACCATCAAAATTATATTGCTGACCCGCTTGCCTAGCTGATGGGGCAGTTCGCACCTTGAACAGTGCCATCACTGGTGCTTTCCAATATGCCAGATGGACATGCCAAATGGAATGCAGCTGACACACATATGGAATACATGAATACAGCATAGTACAAGATATATCTATATTGTAGTATACATATTATATGTATATTATATATATATGTATGGGTACCCGTTTCGGGGGATAAAGGTGAAGCCTAACTGTCTGCTGCAGCCACGTCTGGTTTAGCTCTGTTCTTGAATGGGAGAACCCATGTGCCTCCTTTGTGGTGACTGGAGGTTCGGGCAGAAGTGGTGTGGTGTCTGCGTGAGCCTTGAGGCCATCTGCTTTGCTGTGCTGAACATCATCCCGGCTGAGGACACTGAGAGTCTGATCAACCTGCTCAAGCGGTTCTCGCCCTGCAAGGGGGGGGTTGCGGCCATGGGTTGGCCACCCCAGCACAGCCCCCTCCTGCTGCTCCCGGCCTGGGGGTAGCTCGAGGTGAGGACGCTGGGACAGGCCTTGGGCGATCCAGGTCTCGGAGTCGACCTCGCAAACATCGCAAGAGGTCTCCACGCACAATTCACCTAGCAGGAGACGCAGGAGACGCAGCCAGCTCTTCATGAAGCAAGGTGGGAGTTGCCTGAGTCTTGGATTGGATGAGCAAGGCCAAGGAGGTGCCTCGGGAGGATGAGAATCGAAGTTTGCGAGAGGTGGGAGCGAGCCAGCTTGGGGAGCGGAGGAGGCTCCTGGCTGCGTGAGGAGAAGAAGGATAAGAAGCGGAGATGGACATGTTGGAAAGATGGAAATGAAGAAGGGTTGAGCAGGTTTAGATCCTGGTCGCCTGGCTCGCAGTGCTGCCTCAAGCAAATAAGTCGGAGGGGGGGGGGTGATTAGGAGGAGGGGGGCATTTGCTGACCTCCGGTCTGGGATCGGTCCCAGAATAGGGCCCCATGAACCGAAACGCGAAAAGGGATCGTTTCCCTTCTTGCGGCTTTGTGTCTAATTGACAAGTTCCGACTTGCTGCGCGCAGAAAAGGAAAGCCGGACATCTTATAATACGTGCACGTATACATTATGCGCGCGGTGTATGTTTTTTTATCGCGGCGCCCTTTTTTCGCTTTCTCCGGGGGCTGGTACTGAAGCTTCTCTGGCGCTGGCCACGTTACCGGCGGCTTGCCGGGCTCCGGGCGTTTGCCATGGCACGGCCATGGACGCGGCGGAGCTGTTGGGCGGCCTCCGACGCTCGGCACATGGGTTGTGCATTGGGGCCGGCTCGCGTGGCATTGTGGGATGGTGGGTTTGTCGGAGTGGATTTTTTTGAGAGAAGTGGCGCGCCTAAGTTGGTTTGTGGCGCCAACCGTACCAAGATACAATTTGTCCGCTCCGACTGGGATCCCAGAGGTTGCTTGCGTACATGTACGCCAAAGACAGCGACACCTCGAGCCCCCGAATCCGGAGCTGAAGGAGTAGGATGCCCCACGCAAAAACAAACGTACACACCGGAGCCATCTCATGTTCCTTGAGCTTGCTAGGGGCTAGTCCTGCCGGCAAAGAAGAGGCCAAATTACCTCCCATCAGGAAACACCCACATGCGGAAGGTCATTTCTGGTTGCCCTCCAAGAGGGGTGCCCCCTTGATTGAAATATGTGTAGACCTCTATTGTTTAACAACCTCCTTTTGGTTCTTTAAAAGCCTCGGGCTCGCCTCAGAGTGGCCCAGGGCAGTCGCGGCTGCAGCCGGCCTTCAGGGACGGCTTCGAGGTTTTGAAGACCTGCGCCCAGCAACAGCGGTGGCAGCAGGCGACGAGATCGGCCAACTGGGCGATGGCACTTGATGTTTGTTGGTGGCTAGGATTTCGGTTTTTTGGTTGCCCAGTCTCGTTTTGGTACGCTGTCAGCCAAGAGTTGCGTCTGGAACGCAAACCATATTCGTCGCAGGTGCTCTTCCAAGGAGTATGCTGCAATCCACCAGCAAGCATGCCTTGATGACCCTTCTCAATATACCACGAAGTTGGTCACCCGGAAATCCATATGCTTCACCTTGCCTTTTTGCCAATCGTGGGCCAACCTCAAGTTCAACCCGAAGGAGTCCAAAGACTTCCAACCGAATTGCGGGCTTAGCAATCCACCAGGAACCAACCCTCAAGTAACCCTCGGATCCTTTCCAAACCCGTACCTTGAACCAAACCCTAAACACACCCTGGTCAAAGTGTAAAACCGCCCAACATGCCTGTGACCAACCCCGAACTGAATCCAAGTCCATGCTGAACCAAGCCTATCACCACCGTAGTTCCACCCTTAGCCCACGCTAGAAACATCCCCAAGCTAACCCTGAACCCAACCCTTTACTTACCCTTTACCTACCCTTTACCTACAATTCAGTAGATGCAGGGGCATGCTTGTAGCCTGCAAAGAGCGCTTGTTTCAGTCACACCTTACCAAGACTTTGCGAGCATGAATCGAGTGGTGCATGGACCATGTGATGTTTGCTTTTTCAAGCAAAACCAATGTTTGCAATGCCTGGACCGTTAGTTTGGCTTTCTAAAAGGTACTTTGGCGCCTAGTTTGTTTGTTTCCTGCAAGAAACGAACTCGCCCAAGGAGAGTGTGCAACAAGTATAAACATGTTTTTCCGATAAATTATTAGCCTTTTGTACGTGTGAGTGTGTGTTTGTTTGGATAAACCGTGCACGCAGCGAGGTAGTGAGCACGCTGAAGGTATCTGCTGGGATGCTTTGCGCTAGCAACTGGTCACCCCCAACAGAAATCCAACTACGAGCTTTCAAGCCAATTCTTGCACAGGCGAGGTTACTTCGAGCCCAGAAACTAGTTTTCAGCAAGCAAGATGAACCTCAGTTTTTCCTGGCAAATACCGCGTTCCTCCAAGCAGATTGTTTCGCACTTGCACAACAAACTTGCAGTTAGTTTCACGCTTGCAAAACAGACTTCAAACCAACGGCAAGCTGCCTAGATGTTCAATTAGCAGCCATTTGTCGCATCCTCCCGTACCCTGTCGCAATTCCATCTGCGTTTTTTTTTTTTTTTAAATGATGACAACAATCCGGGGGTGATCCAGGTTTGTTTCTCCCCTGAAAACAAACCTTTTCTGCTCAAGTACTTTGCTGTGCAGGAAACATAAACATGTCCTCCGAGCAAACGTGAGTTTCCTCGGTCGAAACACGTGTGCCGTGCGGCTTTGGACAAGTTAGCATTCCTTTCAAAACATACTTTGTTGAGTTAGTTTGTTTGAAATAAAGAGAGGGGAGTGTTGGTAGCACCTCAGCCATCCTTGGACACGGTGTGTGTAAACTTCAACAAGTAGACACTTTGCCCGTCATCCACTGAACACCCTGGGAAATGGTTGCCCTAGACAAACGCAACACAAACCCTTGCCCGAACCGTAAACCAATTTTGAACCAACCCTCAATCTACCCAACATCAAGCGTAGCATAACTTCACCCTGACTCAACCCTAAGCCTGACCTAAACCAACATCCATCCATCCAACACCACAGTGCAGCAGATAATTGCGCAGACGGGACAAACAGCTCCAAACGACCCAACCCCAGCCTGCAAGCCAAGCCTCATTGGAGGCGCTTAGGCAGGTCTGCGTTTGCTGGTTGCCAGCCTTTTTCTCACATTTCTATGGGCCAGCCAAAGATGAAATGAATCCAGCAGCTGGTTCTTGGCAGGCGCAGGCTGCCAACCAACTCAACGCCTTTGCATGCAAGTGCCTGTAGCATGCCAACATATCTTCCTTTGCATACAGACAAGCACTTTGCGCATACACCCCCCTCCCTCCGCAACCGTTTGCCACCCTTCAACCCTGCAGCATTCGACAACAAGAACTGTATGCGTACAAACAACACTGGTCCCGTTAGGATCGGTGGTTCGACGTGTTCCAGCGCACGGGAGGCAACAGCGCCTTCAGCGACCGCAACGCACAAAGTCTTGACCTCTGATTCCGGTTGGCTTCAACATCTTGAGCTTCACTTTGAAGCAATCTGGATCCTGGTGGGGTTTCAACAGCAATCTACCCCAAGTCTCCATAGGTCATCTGCCAAGACACAAGCAGAGCAACATGACTTTGTTGTTTCTGTCGCCCATGGCTTCCCTATGGATGAGGCCTTGCTTCTGGCCGCAGACTTCCCGAAGCGCGTCAGCTTCAACACAGCCCTCAGCGCTTGCGCCAAGTCAGCGCGCTGGGCTTGCGGGCTGGCGCAGTTGCGGGAACCCAAGTTTCACCCGAATGTGGTCACCTTCAACAGTGGCTTGGCAGGATGGCTAGGCTTCGCGAAACTTTGCGGGCGTTTGATGTTTTTGCTGGGACAGTCGCTGGTATGCTGGACATATTCCTTGCTTGACCGGTCAGGC